ATTATTAGTTTCATTTATCGCAATCCGCACGCCTATACAATTGATAATTGATTCAATTATCATATTAACAAACTATATATACTCGCAGTTTTAAAGATAATCTATACAGATCTAATCTGTGTATTAAAAATCATTAATTAACCTTTAAAAAATTTTACTCCCTCTGTCCCAAAATTATTGTCCAGTTTGATATTTCACTTTTAGTACAATTTGAACGAAAAATGAAAACTCAAACTGGACAATAATTATGGTACGGAGGAAATATATGTGTTAAGCCGATAACAATCAGCGGTCTAATTAATTCTCTACAAGTCATTCATTCTGGATTTACCTTGAACTCATAAAAGAAAATGAGTTTTACAGAATACTGTAATGTGAAACTAAAAGTAAGAATATTAAAATCAAATGCAATCTCAATCTGCATCTTTTATCACTTGCAAAGAGTCAGTCGATGAGGAAATGTAACAAAACTAGCTCCATACTTAATTCCGATTATTATTTTGGAGATTTCGTTCTGTTTATTCTCTTTTTTTCTTCTTTATAGATTTAAGTTTTGTTGTTCACTCTTACAAACTAGTCATGATAAATCATCGCTGAATCTCCTAGAAAAGATGGGCATTAACTAGGGTTTCTTGCCAGGCTGAAACCAGTGCGCAGCTTCACCATAAAGCAGGTGAAACCGCGGCTTTAGGCCCCCAAATATTAAGGATCCCTAATGTTTAATATACATTTCAAGAAAATATCATTTTTTAAAAAAACTATCCATTTCAACTCTATTTCTAAATATCTTGGAACTTTTCCAATAAAAAAAAAATCTCATAATAAACTCCCTAATCTTAATCTTTCTCACAACTAAATTAATAAAATAATTTTTCTTAAAAAAAAATATATGCAACGGTTTTCATGCAATTTGTTAAAATAGTCATTATTTTATCACATTTTTCCAATTCATGTCAATTTTATTTCTTGCAACCACTCTTTTCCTCCTTAATTAATTCCTCATTCTAATTCATGCAATCAAACATAATTTGTTTTTTTTTAGTTTCCTATTATTGCAAATCTTAATTCACTAAATTTTTAAATATATTTTCTTCCTCCTTAACCTCCCTTTCAATTAACCTAGATAATCCAAAAAATGTTTTAGTCTACTAAAATAAAATCAAGATTGATGTTGTGATTTTTTGTGCGAAGATATATTGATAAATTAACTCTCTCTACTATAAAACATTAGGTTTATAAAATTTAATTTAAATTAAAAAACAGTTTTTAGCTCTGTCTATTCTATACTTTCAGACTTATAGTCATAAGTCCAAAATAAGGAGAAAGGCTAATTTTTTTTTAAAGAAAAAAAAATTCCTTATTTTTAAAATGCCGAAATTCGGAAATTCGTTTTGGGCACCTTAAAACGTTAAGCCGCCCATGCTGAAACGCTACCACTTCTACAATTCTAGAGTGAGACACGCCACAAATTAATGTCATGAATATTAAGCATTATTTTTATTTTATTTTCAGGCGTGGATAATTAATGTCTACGAGGACTTACAAAGTTCATTATATGAAAGATAGTATTCTTTTTTAACTACAGCGTGACGACTTCGGGTTTAGCTTTCCCCTAACAGTTTGTTGCATGATTGCCTCTAATTTTGTGTTGATTTCTTTTTTCTTTTGGGAATAAACATTAAGCTATGTGGATTTACTGGACCTGGACATCGTCATACGAAAACCAAATGAACGTACCAGCTCCCAGATGCCACAAAAGAAGGCAAGAATTAAACATGAAATATATTCCTTTTAAAAGAAGATTACACCTTTATTTAGAACTTCAAAAGGTGCAATGCATTTACAGGATATTGCATACCAGTTATGTAAAATTAATGTAGGTTGATTACAATCAATTAATAACGGAAAACTGTGAAGGAAATGACAGGGATAATATAACTCCAAAAAATAAGAGGAACTCGATTGAAATCTCCCTATACGATAGTAAATATTTTTCTTAGAGCATCCGCAATGGTGGTAAATAACTACTTTATTATACTGTTTGTCATTGTGTTGAGTGAAATAATATTATACAGTGTAAGAATTCTTACACTATGTAATACAATTTTGAATGTTAATATACATTTAATGTGAATTTATGATAATACAAAAATTATTTCATTTTATTATACTTTTACGGTGTAAACCAATGTAGTGAAAAGTGAAATAAAAGTATAATAATGAAAATGTATGACATTACACTTACAATAGTATAAACCATTGTAGATGCTCTTATAATAATAGTAGTGAAATGTCTCACAATTCGGATAAGGCATCCTAAGTAGTACATTGTTTTAATTCAATTGCCAAAATTTTAATGTGATGCATATCGAAATACAAGAAGTAGTAACCGAATTATGTATGGAAAGAAATTATGTATAATTAATTAAGGAAATAATTATGTGTTTCAGACACGCTCTTTGGCTGGGGTTGTAGTGATTATCTGTAAGTACTAGGAATACTGCCTGGTTCAGTATTCATTCTATCTCTCAAATTGATAATCAAAATCGGGGGAAGAAGAAGAAAAAAAAAATAAAAAAATCCCTTCATCTTCTCCGTCATTCAAAACAGATTAATCTCTCCAAATTGCTGTTGGATTACCATGTCGGGGTCTGAAGTTCTGACTACTGTTTTCTTGGTATCCCGCTGCTATCAAGTATAGGTAAAAATTGTTGCATTCGCCTCAGAAAAGAGTCTTGTTGTGTTGTATTCTTTACTGTAATTCAATGATTTTTCTTTTTTCAGTGTCGATTTATGCAAATACGAACAACGAGGGAAACTTGTTTTTACTTTGTTTTCTGTTATGATAGGTGAAGCAGCCAATCCAATTGGGATCAAAATCAATGTTGATATTTGCTCTGATCCCAAATGTTTCAAAGATTGCGTTGACCAGGGATTTCCTAAAGGCGGTTCTTGTGCCAGACTTTTTCGAGATCCAATGCCTTTCTGTATTTGCCAAACTTGATTGATAATCTATTTGTCACTTTTTTCCCCCAACGTAGAATACCAGTTCTACTCTCTCATATTCGTCTAAGTTATTTAATTTAATGTTGCCCTTTTGTTTTCTCCACTTTATATATATGATATTCCCTATCATCTGATCTTAATGATATGGCACAAATTAATATTAAACTTTTTGTTTTCTCCACTTTAAATATATGATATTCCGTTTCTTACATTTTTATTTCTTTCACCAGGCTCATATGCCATAGCTGAACCCTCAACCACAGAAAAAAATAATAATAATAATCAAATACCTCCTTACCATCGGAACATGGAATTCCTGCACTTAACGATGTCTTCTTCACAAAATTATGAGAATTAATTGAGACATCAACTTTACCCGGTCATGTTCTCTTAAATGAGAAGAATTAAATCAATGATCCTCAACGACGTATTGTATTCAATTGACAGCGGTGTAATATCAAAAGACAATCTTTACCAAATTATTGTTTTCCGATGGCCATTCTATCAATTGGCCATGACTGCCTTCAAGTTTTGAACAATAGATTGATAAATAGTTAAATTAGATGCTCATGGTTGGAGATTGGTTCGAAAAACCTAATTCACTTAATAGAAGAAAGAAAGAAAGAAAGAAAGAAAAAAAAAAAAAGAAAGAAAAAAACATACCAAGAGAATCCAAACAATGGCAGAACAACCACGGGTCCAGGTCCTCTCGGTGGTTGAGGGGTTTGCGATTGTGAAAGGAAAAGAAGGAAGAAACTCAGAATAAAAGGAAAAATATGGGAAAAAAGGATTATTATTATTTTTTGTTGTACTAACAAAGTAAAAAAAATACTAGGGAGGTGATGTGGAATGCCAATTAGATAGATATGTAGGTAGAGATGAAAATATAATTAAATTTATAGAGTAAAATATCATCTATAGTATTTAATTAAAACAGCAAACAAAAAGGACATATGTCAGCACCACAATGAAAATTTTCCCGCCAAAAGTCATTTTCAGTACAAAATCATTTTTGACATATGTCACTCTAACTAATCATAAAAAAAAGATAGAATAGATAAATACATAAATCCCTTAATTATAGCTAAATAAAAATATCTTAATTATAGGTATATACTAATCCTTTAAAACAACAATATTTAGTTGATAAAATCAAATACTAGGAAATCCCCTTAAATCAAGTGAAACACCAGTAATGTCTTCCCAATCCCCAATTTCAAAGAATCTCTTCCATTCCGCTCCTCTCTCACACCCGAGCCTTTAAATCAATTATTTAAAATCTGACATCAATTATCAATCCATCTCTTTCTACAACAGAGAAAAAATAAGTTGTCATGAAAGAAATTTAATTTTTTAAGGATGATTTTTTTTTATTCTTCTGTTGTAGATATTGTTTTATGATTTATGTAAACCCAGGTATGAGTAAACTATTATAAATTAAATGTTGTAAATCTGGGCATAGATTTATGTATAATAGCTCACTTCCTGTCCTTTCAATCGATTTTTTATTCTTCTAATTTTTTTTTATTTTTTTAAGAATGATTCGTATTTTTTATTTAATCAATTTAAAAATACAGGCGACACCCCAAACATTTGCCCGGGGCAAGAATCTAGTTATTTATAATAAAATTACAAATAGTGATGACGCTTAATTTTTGTAAGCATTACAATTTTATCGACCCAAGCCTACCTGAGACTTCAGTAAATTATAAGGGGATTTTTATTTTTATTTTTTATTTGGTTATTTCGTTATTTTTTCTTGTAGATGAGGCAACTGATCCGAGCCTTTAAATTTGGAACCCTAACACTATTCGGATTCTTCTTTTAGTCTTATCGAAGGCTTAATAGCTCCGAAGGGAAGTTACTTAAGCCCTAATTTCTCGCCCTTGGTTTTCATAAGAGTTCAATATTCTAAACAGGAGTATCTTCTTTCCAAGCAGTAACCAGTCGTTTTCTTAGAGAAGGCCTTCTGTGGTGTTTGTATATATAAAAACATGACTTCATCGGAATTAATCAAGAATATGGAGATGCAAATGGTGGAAGACACTAATTTCGAGGACGATGAGTTCGCTTCAATGTCTATCGAAGACATTATCAAGGCTTCCCGTCTCCTGGATAAAATCAGGATCCTAATGAAAGAGTCTCAGAGGATTAATTAAGAATTGGATGCGTACAAAAAGAAGATTATTGAAAACAAAGAAAAGATAAAGCTGAACAAGCCGCTCCCACACCTGGTGAGCAACATTGTTGAGATTTTGGAGATAAACCCTGATGATGATCCGGAAGATGGTTCCAACATTGATCTCGATTCGTAACGGGAAGGGACTCATCAGATGATCTTCCTTCCCGTTATTGGCCTGGTTGACCCTGATAAATTAAAGCTTGGCGATTTAGTTGGTGTCAACAAAGATAGTTACCTGATTTTAGATACTCTGCCATCTGAATACGATTCTCGGGTCAAGGCCATGGAAGTTGATGAGAAACCAACTGAAGATTACAATGACATTGGCGGCCTGGAGAAACAACTCCAAGAGCTCGTTGAGGCCATTGTTTTGCCAATGACACATAAGGAACGGTTTCAGAAGCTCGGGATTCGACCCCCGAAAGGGGTCCTTTGGTATGGACCTCCAGGAACAGGGAAGACTTTAATGGCTCGCGCTTGTGCTGCACAAACTAATGCTAATTTCCTCAAGCTAGATAGCCCTCAGCTTGTTCAGATGTTTGTCGGGGACGGGGCGAAACTCGTGCGGGATGCTTTCCTGCTTGCGAAAGAAAAGACTCCTTGCATCATCTTCATTGATGAGATCGATGCCATCGGGACGAAGCGGTTTGATAGTGAAGTAAGCGGAGACAGGGAGGTCCAGCGGACAATGTTGGAGTTGCTTAACCAGCTTGATGGTTTTAGATGACCGGATAAAGATTATAACCGCGATGAATATGGCTGACATTTTAGATCCGGCATTGATGAGATCGGGTCGATTGGACCGTAAGATTGAGTTCCCACATCCTACTGAAGAGGACAGAACTAGGATTTTGGAGATTCATTCCTGGAAGATGAATGTGAACCGTGATGTTAACTTTGAATAGTTAGCTCGGTCAACTAAGGATTTCAATGGAGCACAGCTGAAAGCTGTCTGTGTAGAAGCAGGAATGTTGGCTCTCCGGCCAGACGCTTCTGAGGCGAACCATGAAGATTTCAATAAAGGTATCATTCAGGTTCAAGCAAAGAAGAAAGCTAGTTTAAATTATTGTGCTTAGAGATAAGGCATAATGGCATATTTAGTATGATTGATATTTCTTTTTTACAGTGCCAATGGTCGGTTTTACATTCATCGGAGTTAGTAATCTTTCAAAGAAAATACATCAGCGTTGGTTGTTATAAATCCAAATTTTGAATAGCGTCACTTTTTTATGGGGAAAAAGTAAACAAAATTGCTCTATTGAAAGCATTTACAAGGAATAATGTTAGGTACAATTTTTTTTTTTTTGTGGTAGACAGTAACAAATTTTAATAATGATGAATTATTATATTGTGACGTCCTCTAATTAGCTCCAGTCAGCTTAAATCTGACAAAGGAGCCTTAGACAAACGTCTGTCCAACTCGCACTAGGTCTCACACTTAAAACATTAAATCAAAATTTAGAAATCAGGTGCGGAAGCTTAAAATGTTTAAGAAACAGAAATCTACTTTTATTTGACGACAAAAGTAATTCCAAACAGATGGAACTCTTAAACTTTTGAGTTCATAATAGCTAAATGAGATAAAACAGATTTTCTTTCATATAACAACAAAAATTGAACTTCATGTTCTCTGAAAATTACAGCATTAGGAAACAAAAAGATTTAAAATCAAACAATTTAATTACAGTTTTTTTAAACCATTTTGTAGGAATCAAACATCAGTGAAAATAACTTTAAAATACCACAGCTAAATCTACAATACACCCCACGAGCTCCCTACAACATCCTTTTATCCATTGAGCTCACCACAGTCATAAACTCATCACTCTGAGCTAACACCCTCACCAACGGGACCCTGCGGAACAATAAGTTACGGTGTTCCCCACAATATAAAAGAATAGTTCGCAAGCAATCACACAGTTTCACAGGCTCGCAAGCAGCATAAACATAAAGTAATCACACACATACACAACTAGTTTTCCAAGTAGCACATACGATCCGCGCGAAGACCACAAACAAGTCAAGACTTAGCCAGAATGCACAGCAATTTATAGTCTCCCTAAGCAAGGATTTAGCCAGTCCACACAATAAGCTACAATCCTCATACTAATGGACTTAACCAGACCACAGCAAGCTAAAGTCCATAATTCACTAAGCACGGACTTGGCCAGACCACACAGCAAGCCATAGTCCATATAACACTAAGCACGGGTTTGGCCAGTCCTCACAGAAGGCGTATACCCATATAACACTAAGCCGGGACTTAGCCAGACCACACAGCAGGCTATAATCCCATATATATTATACACATCACACATAAACACAAAGCCATGTACCGAAGTCCCATATATCACACACACAAAAGTCACTCAAGCCGCAACAAAGACATTTTACGTAAATTAAAAATAAATATTTTAGAAAGACAGTAAATCTTAAAAGTGAGGTGGAGAACACTCACCTTTTTGTGTAACAATATCATTAATCAATCCTACGTTCCATGCAACCTGCATTTACAATATTCTACTGTTAATCATCTCAGGTGGTAGTCTGTAAAGAGTTGCTTTATGCAAAATTGCTTGCTTAGAAACATTCAGTTAACTCCTAAGGATTCATTTAGAAAGACAATGTTCAGTTTAATAAATTCTTCTATACCCTGCAGGTTTTAATATCATTTTCTTTTATTTAAGAGGATTCTTGACTGCCTAGAAATATTACATGATAACCAAGTGCATCAAATCAAGTCTCAGAGATTAATCCCTAAGCACAACTACAGCCACTTCATCAAATTTTTGAGTGACTGGAAGTCTAGCAAAACATTTACCCATTTTTGTTTGATTCAAGAGATTTCGGGCTGTTTCCATAAGTAAATCAATTATAAATTTATAGGGTGAAACCTTACTTTCACTCTCTTAAGTTCCCAAACAGCTTACTGATTATGTATAGTGAATCCTAATTCACTATTTTAACTAATCACACGAGCCTCACTCACCAAAACCAAATTCACTAAGTTAACTTTAAACTATTAAATTAAATACAACTTAACGCTTTTAGTTTCAAGGTAGGTAACTCGAACTCATCACTATTTATGCTCATTTCTATTTATCTCGATTCCAGAAATCACGATGGGAAGAAGAGTAAACTAATTACTTACAAAGGTGCGGGCAAAAAGGGGTTAGCAGGCGGATGGACCAAAACTTTCCAGCTCTAGGTTTCTCATCTCCCTTTGAGTTTGTCGGCTTCGCCAATCATCTCTCTCAGATTTCAGTTCTTAAATTTGCTAAATAAATGGGCTACATGAAGGATTTATACGGGGCTGAGAATGAGGAGTTAATACTATGAGATTGGTGGTGCGGGATTTCGGCTGAAGAATTTAAGGGTCGCCAACGTTGATGATGGAGATCGAAGCTGTTAAATGAAGGTGAAGGTGCAATGGATAACTTGTGGAGACCAAGCTGGTGGAAGGAAGGAGGGAGTCCCGAAGAAGAAAATGAAGATGATGACAACCTGATGTTAACCCAAAACTTCTTCTAGTCCCCTCTATTTTTTTTACGAATTGATAATCATTTTATTAATGAAAAAAAGAGCTAAAAATATACAAGCGATTTACATAGAGCTATTACAATCCGCCTTAAACGACTCTTCCTACCACAATGGGGTATTTCTTTCCCAACATTGTGTTATGCTGTTGGATAGAGTAACATTAGCAAGATCATGACTAAAGGTATTCCATTGTTTTCTAATAAAAAGGAATTTACAGCTTTCAAAAGATTTCTTCAACAAGACGATATCCTCGACTATGGAAAATATGTCTGAAACAGGGCCTATTCGACCCTGTAACCAAGTTACCATAGTCTTAATATCTACTTGCACTTCAATTTTCTTTAGTCTTCTACTTCTAGCCTCCATCAGACTTTTCCTTACTGCCTCCAATTCTGCTGCAGCTTCGGTCAAAATTCTTTCCTTGTATATTGCTTGTGCAGTAACCAGTTCCCCTTCTGAATTCCTGATCATTATTCCCAGGCCTGCACACCCATTTCCTCCCTCCATCTTTGAGCCAATATTGATTCTGTAGCTCTGTTGCATAGGTACCTTCCAGCTCTGATTGAGGTCACTTTTTTCTTCTTCTGTCCCCCTGTTAGTCACCTTCAGTCGTGCTTGCTGGAATTCCATCCACTCCTCCAGAGACATTTACACGATTTCCTTTGCTTCCTTACTTATCCCTTCCAACTGCCATGAATTTCGTGCTTTCCACATATTCCAGAGAATATATACAGTAACTGCCCGTCTATCTTCAAGTTTTGCACTGTTATCAGCAGTCATTATCATTCTCCACCAATCTCTGAAATTGTTTGTACTCTGGTTCAGACCATCCCAGTTTACTGGTGCTAGTTTCCATACTACTTGAGCCTTTGCACAATGAAAGAAAATGTGCTCTCTTGTTTCTTTTTCCTGCCCACAAACCTTGCAGATTTCATCAATTTTCATCCCTCTCTTCACCAACACTGAACTTGCAGCAGTCCACCCTTTGAAGAGCTTCCAGACACAGTGTTTGAGTTTGGCTTTTACTGGGAGCTTCCATGACTTAGTCCATAACCTTTTCGTCTCCTCCCTTCCTATACTGGATTCTCCATTCCCTTCTTGATCATTTCTTCCATCCATTACCATTTTGAAAGCTGATGAAACAGAAAAAATTCCATTCCTCTCACCAACCTATCTTCCCCTCCCTGCAAGCTCGAAGGTATTCTCTGTACCCTTTCTATTTCATCAGGAATCATAATCTGGTTCAGCTTATCAGCTTCCCACTCTTTTGTCTCATGGTTGATTAAATGGCTTACCATAGTCAGATTACTATCACATTGTCCCCTTCTTATAGGCCCTACTTTACACCCTTCTGGTATCCACCTATCCTTCCAAATATTAACTTTGTTCCCGTTCCCAATTCTCCACTTCATACCCTTCTTAACATCCACTTTACCCCCGGCCACTCTTTCCACTGCCATGAATCATTCTCTTTTTGTTGTACTTGAAACAAAGAGCAATTTGAAAAATGTTTCCCTTTTATAACCCTTGCCATCAAAGATTCAGGCTCCCTCAACACTCTCCACAGCTGTTTAGCTAACAATGCATCAGTCATTGCAGTAAAGTCCCTAAGACCTAACCCACCCTTCTCCTTCTCCACTGTTAATTTATCCCATGCCCGCCAGTGTAACTTCTTCGTTTCATTCACCTCCCCCCACCAAAAGTTTGCCATACTTTTCTCCATTTTGCCACAAATCCCCTTGGATAGCTTATAGCAGGACATCACATACACAGGAAGGGATTGTACTACTGCTTTCAGTAAAACTTCTTTTCCAGCCATAGATAAAATTTTATTTTTCCAGCTTTCTAACCTTCTTTTCACAGCTTCTTCCACATAGCTGAAAACCTCTTATTTTGATCTTCCTATAACCAGTAGCAAGCCAAGATACCTCGTTCGCATTTGCACCTCTACCCCATTCAATTCAGCCCCAACCATTTCCTTTGTTTCTAGAGAGGTATTTTTGCTGAAAAAAACTGAAGACTAAGATCAACTGACCTTTTGACCTGAACACATACCATAATCAAATAGAATTTTTTTCAAGCATTCACCTATCTTACATCAGCTTCACAGAAAAGCAATGCATCATCCGCAAATAAAAGATGGGTTAATTCAGGTCCGTTGGTATTAATTTTCATCCCATTCAGTTCATTTTATTCACAGCAGCATTTAGAAAGTGGGAAAAAACTTCAGCACAAATCAGGAACAAATAAGGTGACAAGGGGTCCCCCTGTATAATTCCTCTAGATGGATTAGTATAGTCCCTTGCCTCCCCATTTATATTAAATGAAAAAGAAACCGTCTTGACACATTACGAAACCCACGCTACAAACTGAAGGTCAAATCCCATCCTTTTAACATACACACGAAAAACCTCCATTCAACCCTATCGTATGCTTTTGCCATATCTAATTTGACAGCCATATATTTTTTTTCCCCTCTCAAATTATTTAAATAGTGGATTATTCATGCGCAACTGTCATATTATCTAGAATTTATCTAGTCCCCTCTAATTCATTCTTTTTAATTTTTTATTTTAATTTACTATTCTTTCTTCTTTTCTTTCTTTCTTTCTTTTTTTTTTAAATACAAACTAAATTATATTTTAGTCACCACTAGATAATGGTTTGGTAAATTATGTCAAATAGGAAATTATGACCAGGTTTGGAATTTTAGAGAAACTTAAAGTTAACGTCTTAGTTTTCTAAATGAGCTAATAAAGCAAAAGCAATGGTTCTGCTATAATTAAAATAATGATGTGAGATTTAATTAAGTTCCAAGATTTTTACTTCACTTGTTAAAACCCAATATCCATATTACGATTTTAGTTTGGTACATTGATTTAACTAAATTTAAAACAACTCTACCATTAATAGCTAGCAATCATAGAGGTCTCTACTCGGTTCTCATACATATCCATTCATTTTTTAACATTTTTCATTCAGGATTTAATTATTTAAGATTAATACAAAGTTTAGACGGTTAACACATAGTTTAGATGATTGACACGTCATTTTATATAATTTTTCTTATAATTTTTTTCTTGTATGTACCATTACTTTTTTTTTATGAAACTTTATATTATTATAACATCGTAACATCTTACTCAAATACAGCATTTGGTGCCTGAGCTAGTGTGGGGTGTGGGCCTCTTGTTCAGATTTCCAATGCACTCCAAAGATCCATAAACCAACCTACTACTCAACTGTAAATCAGCCTGAGATCATGAGCTTTACCGGTGTTTACCATTGTTGGACCAAGACGCCTTCCCCCTTTCATCCCGCTACACCAGTACGTAACTTAGAGATAAAGTTTGGTGGGCTCTATGAAATTTATATATTAATGAACAAATGAATCTGTAACGATCCTATTTAAGTCGAATCAAATCCAAAAATTTAAAGGAAGGCAGAGTCTTGACTAAAAGTTAAAGTTTCATTAATTTTTTCTTTTCCCAAAATACAGAGTTCTAAAGATATAAATAAACTCCAATAGCTAGAAACTAGGGATAATTCCCCCAACTTCTAAACTACCCATGATAAAACAACGTGACTAATCCTAAAAGTAACTAACTAATTAAAAAGTAATTAGTAAAATCACAAAATACTACAGTAAACATGACCTAGTTCAGTAAAAGTTATTCTGTGACTTTTAACGGGCATTACGGAATCACGAAGTAGCCTTACTTTATGGAATTTATATATTGATGAACAAAATAAATCACCAAGTAGCCTAAAAAAATAATAAGAAAATATTTCTTTCGTAAAAATCATCCAAATTACAATTTGTTAAGAATACCTTTTTTTTGGACAATTCACAAATTATGAAGCGATTTATTTATTTATTTATTTATTTATTTTTGAGAAGGAGAGTAATAATTATAAACCAGCTGAAGGATTGTGGTCTAGGATAGAATAATCGGAACAAAGTTTAGGCATTGAACCTGATAATAAATTGTCGATGGAGTTCCAATGGTCCCGTCCAGCCCATATAATGAAATCGGGAGCAAATAATTTTTTCCCTCTCTTAGCGACTTAGCTTTTAATTATTGTCAGAATATCAAGAAATATTTACTACTATAATAAACAAAATTAATTGTTAGCCTGATTCTTTGACCGAGTTAAAAATTGGTAAAACAGATTCAACCTAAAAAACCTAAAATGGTTGATCGGGATAATAAGATGTGCTCCTTAAAACTGTATTTCCACCATTCCAGCGAGAAAATTGTCAAGATTGCCAAATGCCAAGCTCTCCAGTGGAGTAGAACATGTTTGTAAAGCATGCAAATAGGAGTGCCACCAGAATTGTCCTTTGATTTCCCTATATATCCCCCTATAGCACCAAAACAAGCAGCAAAGAAAACTAAAGCGATCAAATTTACTACTTCAGATCAAAACAAATTAAAACGAAATTAACATAAAACATATAATTAAGATGGCTAGCATGGCTTTAACTGGGACCCTTTCCAAGTTGCAAAGCCCAGCAGCAATCATCGTACGAAGCCCCTGGAGTTCTAGGATTTTCGCTCCTCGCATGCCTTTTCAAATGGTCAGTTATATATTTTTCGAAACAAAAGATGCATTTTTTTTTAATTTATTAATCTTTACTGTAAATCGTCCAACAATGATATACATTAATGTAGTTAGAATTTTGTTGGGAACGAGTTTAATTAGTGGACGATTTAATTGACTGAAACAGGCAGCCACTCGACATGGAGTAACTGCAGCGAAAGATCAGGCATCGAATGCAGCAAGGCAAGGTAGCAAAGCAGCCCAACAAGGCGCTGAGGCCGCTAAGAAAGTCGGCCAAGAAATTAAGCACGAGACTGCTTCCACAGCCGATGATGTGAGTAATCAATCAACTTAATGCATGAATTGTTAAATGGTTTGTTAGCGTAATCATCTTGTGTTTAGATAGCCTTTTGTTGGATTTGTTTTTTCTTTTTATCTCGTTCCAATTTAATCAGAACAACATCGAATAAATTGCTCAAAACTGAATAAATGTCACGAGCGACCAAAAAGTTAATGAATAAAGAGTGGGGAACCTATTTTGATTTTAGTAATTGAAATATTTGATGATTAACGAAGGTGATTCAAAAAACCAAGAATGTGGCTGGGAAGGTGGCGGAGGCTTCTAAGGATATGGCCGGAAAAGCCAAGCAAACGGCACAAGATGCATGGGGTTCCGTCAAGGACACCACTCAGAAAGTCAAAGAAACGGTGGCCGGAAGGGCTGAAGAAACCAAGGAATTTGTCAAGGATAATGCTGAGAAAGTGGAGCGCAACATCAACTCCAAAATGTAATCCTTCATCATTGGTCGTCACCAATTCCATCACATTAACTATCTCATGATTTATGAATAATTTTTCATTTATTAGTTTTGTAATAGGAGTACGATTTTTAATGGCTTTTCATCAGTCATCGATTAATCTACATTTTGATGTGTTAATTTTGTAGTACTGGTGTTGTTAAATTATGATGGAAATTTAATGATGCTTCTACACAACCTTTTTAATTTTTCTTTTCTTCTTTTTTATTAGAAGCAAGGTATTGAAAGTTGAAACGCATCTCCTTAACGTCTCCAACAATAAATAAAGGCGATTCTATGACCAAGCATGTTTTATAAACCTGCATGTTAATTATATGCATATTCTTCCATCTTCCGTCGTCCATCACCGACTGAAGGTGAATGGTGATGAAGGTGTCCTCTATATTTCTATTTTCCGTCCGGAAAAAAACATTTGGAAGGTTATATTCAATCTTAATTACTCTTTTCCATATAAAAAAAAATTATTCAAAAGATTATATTTTTTTTTATTGTAAGTTACAATGTAAATTATTTTTAGAATGCATCAGTAATTTGAAACCGTGTACATCGTATCGCAACGTATTCTTGTACATCATCCAACTTATGATATCCACTGGCCTCGATGTTGCCAACCAGTCCTTTTATTCTTTGCATGGAAGTCGAAATTATTACGAATTTGATTTAACAAAATATTTAGGTATTATTTATCGGAATGTTTGGTGAATAAGTTAATTTAGACCTAAAAGCCTTTTATATCCCCAGTTTGCCTCCTAATTGAATGAATGCGATACATTAAATTGAGCCTAAAAATAATACCTCTATTTCAAAATAATAATTCACATGAAGTTTTGATTTATATTAAAAACATTACAAAATCTTAAAATTCAATCTGAATTATTTTTCTGTCATGGAGGAAGTATCATTTTGTATCTATGTCTGGTTGTTTATGATACTGAGAACGAATCATTTCCGACAATTATAGCATTCAACACTTCAATGAGATCTAAGTTACAAGTTTTGATCCATGAACTTAGGACGCATTATTTTTTGATGATTAGAACATTCCACATTTTGGTGGAAGAGTTTTGGTTCCACGACTGAGAAAATCAATATTTCCTCCATTTCTCAGGTTTACACTTTACAAACAAAAACGAAAACGACTTAGCTTAGAAATTAGAATTGGAAAAAAAAAAGTTAATATCGAACATACGTTTAAGATTTAGTTGATTAATATCTTTATTGTTTGAGAAAATTATAATATATATATATATATATATCTTTTAACTGAAAAATTGATTATCAAAAGATCCTTTGACGAGTGAAATTAAGGTATTCATGTGAAGTCAAAAATAAATACCAAAAAAGTGTTCGTACCACCAAGAAATCTTCCGTGATATTTTTTGAAAAAATCTAATAAAGTCAAACATTGATTTCTAAATTTGCAATTTCAGTTTTTTACGAGCTCCAAAAGCGGAATTTTAAAATTAGAAATGGATATTAATTTGATTTCAAAAAGGGTTTCTACGGAATACCAACCTCTTTTCGACAGTTTTTTTTATAGAATTTATATGCATATATTAATTTTCGAACGTCGGAAGGACCATTTTGATAATTGACTAATTCATTAAAGGATTTTTTGAAATTCTTTTAAACAGTAAATGATATTATTTTAGATAATGAGCTAAAATTCGGAAATACTTTTGATATTAAACCAAACAATTATAAGGATGAAATTTACTGGAAAGGTACGACCAAGTACCAACCATGTCACATTTAAAATGTGCAACGACGTTGACAAATATACTACTAGTTCACAAACTTCACATAACCCATTTTCCACATTTAAAAACTACAATATAGTCTAGGCATTGCTAAAAATGGTATGTCCGACGAATTCATCTAATGTAAAACGGAATAATTTAATAAGCAGATCGAAGGAAAAAGGTGGTAGTAGTATTGGGGCTGCAGGAGTTCACTTTTTCATTGCATTTCCCAACTTTGAATGGATTGTCCTTTAGTTGACGTCTTCATAGACTGTGCATGGCTGCCACGTTTGTGTTAGACTTGGGATGGTTACTGGTTAGTCATTTTCTCTTTCTTTTTCCTTTTCTTTTTAGTAGTACAATTATTTCAAAATTAATTTTGAAGCATATCACAAAAATATTTGTATTTTAAATTTGATGGTGTGTGGTTGGTTGTCAGCTTATTGAGATGCAACAATGTAGAACATTGCTGATTACGAGGACAATTTACTCGAATAACATAATATAAACTACTACGTTATAAAATAAGTGTCATTTTATTAAAATGGAGAAATTTCAAAATAAGTGTCGTTCTCACATTTTAATGCACTTTTTGTCAAAAGTTTTCAAAATTCTCCTCAAAAGAATTAATACTACTATTGATGAAAATTTTTTAATAGGGCTGGTTGAGAATATATTCAAGTAATTCTATAATCTTAGTTAAGAGTTTTTTAAACTATGTGCAAAGTATAGAATGACACTTATTTTGGAATGGAGGTATCTTATTAGAATAAAAAAACAAAAAAACTGCAGAGTATGATACTAATCAGCCTAATTTGGAAAGAAAAAAAAAGGAATATTCCGTAAGAATATATTATTTGATTTTACAACAAAATTGTAGAATTTGTTACTACGTTTGAAATGTCTGGGATTAAAATATAGTTAAATTGTTTTGATTAAAATATATGTTTGTCAAAATCAGTTGTATTCCCCGACTTTCTGGATGAAGAAACTACTACATGGACTTTCCAATTGGTGTTAATTTATTGACTTTGGCAAAACATAGAAAAAGCAGCGAAAAGCTGGAAAAGGAAATCTTCATTAAGCAGGAATTGAATTTTGATGTCTTCAAAGAGTTTGTTGGCTTGGAAAATAGGAATATGTACAGAATCCGAACTTATCATCTGAAAATCACGTTATCGACATTTCTGATCCATCCCATAAAGAATATGCACGATAATTCAAATGCTAATTTGATCCTGTATCTAATGTAGCATCTAATTACGTACTCTTGGAACAAAAAAAGGAAACAAAATCATAAAATTCCATTCTATTCTCTCTATATGCTGATGAATTATGTAGGTCTTATGTCGTCATCCATGTATTAAAAAAAGCATTGCTAAACATTATTTCATTATAAATATTTTTTTTGTTTCTAACATGTTTGATAACAAAAATTAAACTTCTTAATAGATTATGCGGACAAAATAAAAAAAAAATGAAAGTTAACTTATTACGAATTCCTAAACTATTTAATGAACTCAACATTTTTAATTCAATATTAAATATTTATAATAAAACACCAAAGTTTAACAAATCGAAAGTTTTTGAAAAACTAACAACTCCTTCCATTCCAAAATTTTTATCCAATCTAAATTTTTAATTTCAGTACAATTTAAACTAAAAATCCAAATTCATATTCGTACTAGATAATAATTTTGGAACAGAACAGGAGAGTACGAAGAGAGAAAACGCCGTAAAAATGATAACGGATTAACGGGGTGAAGTGGGGCCGGGAATATGGTCACATACGTTAAATGGCAAACCTTAATTGGGTAAGTAAGACCATCGTCGTCCCATGCACGTGAACACCGTCTCCTTCCCTCATCTTACTCTCCAAAAATATACCAGCACAGCAACAACAAAAAAAAAAAAAAAAACATAAAACAGCCCCAGAAAAAAACGAGCCGCAGGGAAGATAACAACGTTTCAATCCGGGGAAATAAGCCAATAAGCTTTTCGTCAAACATCCTTCCAAAAACCTCACGTCACTCCCTTACGCCATCATCTTCCCGTTTATCTCCAAATTCGTGTCATTTAACCACTGGTTTTTCTTTAATGTTCATTCATATTTAAGAAACAGAAAAAAAAAAAAAACTCGTTGGGTTCTCCAATTCTCAAGGTATATGAGAACACACAGCGGCGCGGATAATGTAATAATGACGGATTATTTTCTCCCCTTTCCTTCTTTTGGGTTTATCAGGAAAAGCCGAAAAGAGAAATAAAAGCTTCGGGGCTGGGGTTTTTTTGAGACTGCAAACGAGTTTTATTGGCTAAAATTAAGAAAGATGTGTAATAATTACGAATTGGTGTTGTAAATGTTGTTTGTTGGGTAGTGGGATATTTGGGTTGGAAGTATACGTAGTGGGGTGGCGTCAGAGATGAACGGACACGTTTCGGCGGAGAATGAGGCGTCGCCGTTTTATCCACGAATCAGGACTACCCATTTTGTAAAATTTACCCTCACCTCAGTCGGTCCAATTCACCGTTATATTATATTTGGTGCTCTTTTTCTTCCCCTTTTATCAGAATTGGTTTAATTGGAGTAGTAATTATTTTTCAATCTGTTTTGGTGTGTGTGTGTGTGTGTGTGTTTTGTTTGTTTTGAATCTGAAAACTGAAAAGTGTGAAGAAAATAACAAAGGCTGAATTGCACCGCTTGAGATCACCATTCAAGTGAGAACGTATGGCGGACTGGCGTATTTCTCGGAGATAAGCGGAGAAAGTAGCGGCACGAGGTTTCGTTTTTTTTGGTTTTTTTTTTTTTTTTTATTTTCTCTTTCTTACTCAATTTTGACGATACAAAAACCATTTGAACTTATCTTGCAAACCAAAAGCCAAAAAAAAAAAAAAACAAAAATGAAAAGAAAAACCCACAACATTATTGTTCCTGTAAATTAGTTTCCCACACACTAAAACCAAAAAGGAGAAAAATGGGAACTTCCCAGAAGAAACTAAAAAGACCAACAGTAGTAGTAGTCATGGCAACCCTTTTGTTTTGCACTAATACTACTTAATCTTGTTTCTCTCGGCAAAATCCGCCCCGACCTGGTTTCCGATCAAATACATTGAGTCCGGTGGCCACATCCTTCCCGGATTCCGTTCTGATTCTGTAAATCTTTTTCGTTAATTAATAATTTGTCTTCTGTCTTTATGTATTCATTTACTGCACTTTTAATTTGTTAAATCAACACTATATATGTTGTTATGCACTTGTAGATTCTTTTTCTCTGAGCAGATACATTTAATGAGCCCAACTTATATAGTTTAAAAGGGAAACTGCTACAAAATACTGGTCTTGTTGTGGATAAATCGGTAGTGGTATTTCAAAACTGGATATATACACAGAATTAAGAGGAAAAGAAGGGAATACATTCCCAGATGGTTTATGTTGTTTGCATCCTCACCACCAAAACTTGAACCTCTTTTTTATATTTGTTTTTCTTTTTTTTCCTTTTTAATGGATGGGTAAAACCAAAACAGAGGGCCCCTTCTAACTTGTTGCTTCCTTAATCAGTTACAATCTTACTGTACACACTCACTCCATCCCCTATCCGTACATATACTACGCACACACACAATTTTCACACAGTCACACACTGTATTCTGTTTTCCTGTATTTTTCTCCCTAACCATTTCCAATTTCTCTCAACCAAACCAAACTCTGTATCCTCTTCAAAGTTCCTTTCTTTCTGCTTCCCCTCAAATTTTCACCATAACCACCGACCAGAACAACCTCAAAACGGAGGTGGGTGGTTTGACTTTGACTGTTTTCTTAAAAACGCCGGAAATGAATAAGAATAATGGGAGTTATCAGGAATTGTTGCATGGAGAGGATGATGGATTGAAAGACATGGATGGGGTGATTGATTATTCTTCTTCTAATCCATTCCCATCTGCATTCTGTGATGAGGAAGATGGAGATTTGAATACCCAACAACAACAACCAGTTGTGGTGAAACAGGAAGGAGGAGAGATCTACCATTTGCTGAATCATGATGATGATGAAACTTCTTCTTCCATGTTCTACAATGATTTCCCTCCTCTCCCTGATTTCCCCTGCATGTCTTCTTCCTCTTCCTCTTCCTCTGCTCCAGTCCTTTCTAATAAGCCTGTTGCTTCTACTTCTTCCTGTTCTTCAGCTTCATCTTCCTCTGCTACTTCTTGGACTGTTTTTAAGCCTGAATCTGATGAATACACTTACAATAATTCCGACGACGGAAGGTACCATCATCATCATCATCATCATCAGTACCATCAGTATCACCACCATCACCACCACCAAAGCAATGACTACATCCAGGACCCTGCGGCGGCGGCGGGGTTGTCATCCACCGCTTCCATGGAAATCAGCCTCCCACCGCCGGATGACGTCAACAACGGCGCCGCCGACGATTGTATCAATGTGATGGAGAATTTTGGGTACATGGATCTGCTTGACAGCACTGATATTTGGGACCCATCTTCCATATTTGAGACTGAATCTGAGAACCCACAAGAAGAAGAAGAAGAACAGGGCCAAGATCAGCCAAACCAGAATAATACTAATCAAGTTAGCCCGGCCCAACAGCAACAACAACCACAGCAATCTTCTAATCAACAGGAAGAGGAGGAAGAAGAAGAAGATGGGAATGACGGGCTTTATTTCTTACAAGGCAACCGTGAGTTGGGCGATATATTTCTGGAATGGCTCAAGCAAAACAAAGACTACATTTCCGCTGAAGACATGAGGAGCATTAAGCTCAAGCGTTCAACCGTAGACTGTGCTTTGAAGCGTTTGGGAACTACCAAAGAAGGAAAGAAGCAACTCTTGAAACTCATCCTGGAATGGGTCGAGCAATATCAGCTCCAGAAAAAACGAGCCCGGGAGCAGCAGCAGCAGCAATTCATCAACCCCAACCCTAACCCTAACGTGGATCTCAATTGCAACCCGATTCCTTCAGATCCCAATCATTGTTTCTCTCCGTCACCAGCTTGGGCTCCTCCGCCTCCTCCTCCTCCTCCTCAGCCGCCGCTTCCGCCACCGTGTGTTCCGGAGGCTGCGTCTGTTATCCCAACCGCATTCCCGCCTGTGATGGGAATCCCGGGAGGAGCTTATCCTTGTGATATTCCGTACTCCACCGCCGCCCCAATGTATCCTCCGGCGTCGGCTGAACAATACCAGCAGCCGATGGATGCTACACAGTCCTGGAGTATGGCAGCAGCGCAGCCGTTTACGGTGGCGCCCCACCCGCATTACAATACGTTTCAGGATACCAACATTCCCGGGTCGAATCATGCCCAGGCCCATGCCCTGTATGTTAATGCGTATCCATATCCGGTGTTTGATAATAATACGGGGGAGAGGTTGGTGAGGTTGGGTCCGTCGGCGACTAGGGAGGCTAGGAAAAAGAGGATGGCTCGTCACCGACGGGTCTCTGTACACCATTATCATCGCCACCACCACCAGAATCATCACCGTGATCATAGCCACCACCAGATTCAGCAGCCGCAGGATATGTTGATGGCTGAACAACAGGCTGTACACGCGGCTGCTGTGGCGGCAACGGGCGGAGGTGGCGGTGTTGGTGGTGTTGTTGAGGATCGGGCACCTTCTCAAGCTAATCCAAATGGGAATTGGGTTTACTGGCCTCCTGCTGCTGTAGCTGCTCCTCCGGTTAGCTCCACCATGGCTTTGGTTCCACCGGTGGTTGAACCATCACGGCACATGCCACAGACTAAAGCCCCTGTGTTGGATAGAGGAACCATGCAATCGCAGAGCCAGCAGCAGCAGCGCTCTCAGGTTCCTTCTGCTGACCGTAAGCAAGTACGATATCTTTTCTCTCTGAGGGAAATGAAATTTGTTTCCATTAAGCTTAGTTCATCGGGTTTTGGAAATTGTACTTACTGATTTCTCATTTGCATAGGGTTTGAAGACGGAGAAGAACTTGAAATTTCTACTACAGAAAGTGTTGAAGCAGAGTGATGTTGGTAATCTTGGAAGAATTGTGTTGCCTAAAGTAATTTCCTTGTTCTAATTTTCTACCATGAATCTTTGAAGTAAAAGTGTTGGATGATTGGTAGAAACTAGAAACTTTTAGGCATATATATTGTTGGATGTTGATGCTCCATTATTAATTTTGTTTGTTGATTGAAATTGTGGTCTGGATTTTCAGAAAGAAGCAGAAACTCACCTCCCCGAACTTGAATCAAGAGACGGGATCTGTTTAGCTATGGAAGACATTGGCACTTCTAATGTCTGGAACATGCGCTATAGGTATGTAAATGCCGCCCAGTTTCCAAGTTCCACTCATAAATGAAAATTTATTGTAATTGAGCATCTTCTAATTGTTTTGGTCATTCATTTCTGAAGATTTTGGCCCAATAACAAGAGCCGAATGTACCTTCTTGAGAATACAGGTAAGTAACAGTCGTTTAATCAGATCAAACCTTCAATGCGTCTCTTTTCTTTTGGAATGAAATTTGTTCTTAACATATTTGGAATTGGATTTCAGGGGATTTTGTGCGGGTAAATGGACTTCAGGAGGGAGACTTCATTGTCATATATTCAGACACGAAGTGTGGCAAATATGTAAGCCTCTTGTTTCTTTGGTGTAAAGGCATTAGTACATGTTTCCATCTTAACTACTGTTTTCTTTTTTCAATGTTACATCTGTCCTGAGGTTTTCGGAGTAATGACTAACTAAATGATTGTGTTTAAGACATAATGTAGCTTAGTTTTGCCAGGGTTTGTTTTGATTGGCTAACAAACTTGTAAAACTTTTTACAGTTGATAAGGGGAGTGAAAGTGCGCCAGCCTGGGTCAAAACCTGAAGCCAAGAAACCAGCTGCCAAGAAGAATCAGCGTAATGTGCAGCAAACAGCTTCTAACATCTCTCCAGCATCCTTTAAGACTACAGCGAAGTGACTAAAACGAAAGGAAGAAAAGCCCACAGAAAACATGGATGATGAGGAAGCTACCTTGGTGGAGGGATCTGTTTGCTTCTGATGATTTTCGGATCTGCAAATCTCCTGCAGCATGGTTTTCAGAGGTTGAAAGATTTAATGATCAGCCGATATAAATAGTCTAACAATTTTGCTAACCCTTTAATTCCATGCTCTGATCATTTGCGGGTTTGAAGATGGATTCTGTTGGGGCCTTCCTTGGGAACTTTGATCATTTTCCTGAACAACCTAATCATCGTGTGTTGTAACTTTATGTATGTCTGGTGTTCTGTAATTGGGGATTCTCGTTGGTAGTATATCAGATTATACAGCTAAGTGTGTGCCCTGAATTTTATATCATGTAAAGTAACATATTGTTGTGACTTGTGATGTATTCTTGTGGTATTTGTTAATAATCCAAATACTGATGCATCTTGCTGCATCTTGGTTCTCCATAATCATTCTTTTCCAAATGATAGACCAACCTCTGTGGTTTTAGTACTCCCTCCGTCCCATAATTATTGTTCATTTTGAGTTTTCATTTTTAATTCAAATTGTACATGAAATCTCAAACTGGACAATAATTTTGGATTTTAAACTAAAAATGAAAACTCAAAATGAACAATAATTATGGGACAGAGGGAATATCAATTTTGCATCATTGATATTCTGGACAACCTACTTCTAATTGTATTTTGTCCAGGGCTTGAGAGGCTTATAACCACCAATATTGAGTTAAACAGCGCGACTTTGGAGACCAAAACTTCCGTGGTGCTCTTCTGCATTCTGTTGCAGAGTAGATTTATTACGACCGTTTTTCTGAGTACAAAAGTTCGAATTTATGATATGGCCCCCTCCTTTTTGGAATACAATCCAGTGTGAAAAGATTATGTGAAGATCAGGGAATTGCTCAGCTTCAGCAGGTGTCATTGTTACAGAAGAAAGGTGAATTTTCGAGTGCATGTCAGTGTATATATTTGGCGTAATATTCGAAATTGCCACTCAGTTTTGATTCACTGGTCAATTTGGTCCCCTTAATTTCTATTGCTCTCACAATTAAGACCCCGTTTATCTTTGACAACTGGCATCCTGCTAATTTTGTTATATATACAGTATTCCTAAATTAGAATGATTTCGTTCAACTTTAATGCTGTTAAATATGTTGTAAATGGTTCAAAAACGTTGCTCATTCTCAGGTGTCTGGACTATCTAGCTAATCTCAGTTGCTCATTCTCAGGAGTCTGGACTATCTAGCTAATCTCAATGTGACGATCTCGTATTCTTCCTCGGTCTCAAAATGATTTTAATACCTTACAGAAACAAATATGGTAATTATGGTTAGTAATGCATATTTTGCCTGATTAGAGTTGATTTTAATACATATTTCATTAGTGAGACTTCTTGTTTCCCAGAGACTAGTGATTAGAGTTGTTTCCTTCTGGTGAGTTTTTCTAGCAATTACATCACCTTTTAACCCTGATTGTATGTTTCTGCAGATATGCAAGGAAATTTGACTATGGAAAGGAATCCAATATTTATTTCTCAGAACAACAGAGTCAATCTCCAAAATACAATTTTCAAAGTAAATCAAATGAATGAAAACTTTTCAAGGACATTAAGGAAAAAAAATATGTCCTAAATCTATAGAAACTCTGGCTGCGGTTTCGGGAAATGTTCCTCTTCGTTTCTACTTGATTCCACCTTTGCCAAGCGAAGAAGAAGAATAAAGCAATGAAGATGCAGAAAAGCTGGTGTTATTGCTTTGCAGGTTCAAATTCTTCATACTTGTTGATGATGTCCCTCCTCCACTAACACAATTTTCCTTGTGTTCTTTTCCAGCTGCTCCTCCATTCTCATTTCCTTGTGGATGATCTTTAAGAAGCATATCTACTTTCATGTATTCCTCTTTCTCATGTCTTATTTCTTCCAGCATTGCTGCAACATCTTTCATTGAAGGCCTGTCGTCAGGCGACGGGTTTACACAGAGAACAGCTACACCCAGAGTTTGCATCATTTCTTCAATCTCCAGTTCAGGCCTGCAAAGCAAGCTTTGATCTAGCACCTCTGCAGATGCCCTTTTCTGTCTTACCCAATCCACAATGTGAAGTCCATCGGGTATTGTGGGATCAATCGGCTGTTTTCCTGTTAAAATTTCCAGGACTACTACCCCATAGCTGTACACATCACTTTTCTCTGTGATTTTCGTCATGTATCCATATTCTGCGAGAAAAGCCAGTGCAAAATGATGAGATAACAATTCAAACTAAGTTTTTGCAAGTAAACAGGAGTTATATTCTTACAGTTGAAATATATCTGAGTATTTGTACTCACCTGGAGCAATGTACCCATATGAACCAGCAACTGTATTGGAGGATCGACCAAAATCGCCATCATCAACGAGTTTTGCCAGTCCGAAATCTGCAATGTAGGGCTCAAAGTCGAGTCCAATCAGGATGTTGTTGGCCTTGATGTCCCTGTGAACTATTGGAGGGACGCAGTCATGGTGTAAATAGGCTAAACCACGCGCTGAACCAAGGATAATCTGATATCTAACTTCCCATTCCAGGCAGCCACCACTTTTTTCATGCAGAAGACTTCCCAGACTTCCATTAGGCATATAATCATACATTAGCAACTTTGTGCTTTGATTCCAGCAGCAACCTAGTAATCTCACAATGTTCTTATGTCGGATTGAGCCAAGTGTTTTTACCTCCGTTGAGAATGAATCACGGAACCCTCCACTGGTTCCGAGTTGATCATTTCTGAATTTGTATCCTGCAGCTGAGGTTGTTGAAGGCCATAGTTTCTTCACTGCTATGACTTCACCGTTTTCAGTTTCTACCCGATAAACAACTCCGGAACATCCCTTTCCAATCACATTAGCTTCCACTAAGCACCTCAAAATTTGATCAACTGTGAAGTTTAGTTTCTGGAAAGGAGTAAATTTCCAGGGGGATATATCCCCTCCTCCCAGACCAGATTCACTATCTTTACTACTCATACTTCGGAGGCGAGAAACAGCGAAAAATCCCAAAATTGCCAAGACTATTGTTAGGACAGCAAGAAGCGCAATCGCCAATTTTAGTTTCCAGGATCGCCTGTCGTGTTGGTTGCTAGACAGTCCCATGCCTGGTCCGTTGCTCAAGAAACACGAAACATGACCTCCAGAACACAACCCTTCATTCCCTGCTAATTCAGCTGGTGATAACTGTCTGAACAGCTTATTATCTGGAAGATAACCTGTGAAGTTATTGTAAGATATATTCAGAGAAACAAGGTTTACCAGCCCAGATAGAGCAGCCAAATCTCCTTCAAGATTGTTGTGAGAAAGGTCCAGAACAGAGAGCTTATTCAGAGCAGAAATTTCAGATGGGATTTTCCCTGTCAAATAATTCCAGCTTAAATTCAAAGCAATTTCCAGGGCCTGTATTTTAAACAGTTCCACTGGAACATTGCCTGAGAAATTGTTGCTACTTAAATCAAGCAATTGAAGGTCTGTCAAGCTGCCTAGTGTGGGAGGGATTGACCCGGAGAAAGAATTTCTACTCAAAACAAGTCTATTCAGAGACGAAAGCTGACTATAACTACTAGAAATCTGACCAGAAAAACGATTGAGTGAGACATCCAAGACCTGAAGCCTGGTCAAAGAAGATAAAGAGCTCGACAAAGATCCACCAAGTGAGTTGTTGCTCAGATTCAGCAACTGCAAGTCTTTGCAATTTCCAATTTCTTCAGGTATTGAGCCAATGAGATTGTTATTAGAAAGGTCAAGAAAATTAAGACCGCTGAGGAGCCCAATCTCACTTGGAATCGATCCACTGAGCTTGTTATCAGTCAGCCTTAATCTCATCAGGGCAGTGCAACCGCCAATCTCACGGGGGATGGGACCTGAAATGTCGTTGGAAATGATTAGAAGTTTGCTTAAATTCTTCAGCTGAAACAGGCCAGGGGGAAGGCTGCCTGTTAAAAAATTGTGTGACAAATCCAGGGCCTGGAGGCTTCGGCAACCGGCGATTTCTGCTGGAATGCTTCCTTCCAGCTTGTTCTGCCAAGCAAACAATACAGTCAGCTCTGTCAACAAACCAAGCTCCTTGGGGATGAATCCAGAAATCTGGTTAGTATCTAGCTGCAACTGTATCAGGCTAGAAGCATTAGCCAGCACCGGGGGAATAGAACCAGTAATATTGTTGTTACTAAGCATCAACTCTTGAAGATTAGTAAGATTCCCAAAGGACAAAGGTATGCTTCCAGTAAAAGAATTCAATGATAAATCAATAATAACCAAACTTCTGCAGTTTCCGATTTCTTCAGGGATATGCCCCTCAAGATTATTCTGCCACAGCAACATCTTCTGAAGTTTCTGCAACTTGCCCAACTCAGCAGGAATTGAACCTGACAAGCTATTCTGATACAAATACAAGTAAACAAGCTCCGTACAGTTCCCAATCTCTGCAGGTATTTCGCCTGAAAGCATCGTGATATAAGCTGACAACACCTGAAGCTTGCTGAGCTTACCTAATGAAGCTGGAATAGAACCAGAAACTTGTGTGTCAGCAAGACCTAAAACTGTCAAGTTCTGACAGTTTCCAAGTTCTTCAGGTATCTTTCCATCAATCTCTTTGTTCCCTCCAACTCTTAATACTTCCAAAGATTCAAGCTTTCCCAGCCCAACAGGAAGATTCCCACTGAGCCCATTATCAAACAAGAGTAGATTTTTCAGGGCAAGGCAATCACTTAACTCCACTGGGATGATTCCAGTTAGTCCATTCGAGTTGAGAATCAAATCCTCAAGACTTTGAAGCTTACCAATGGTGGCTGGAATGCTTCCCACAAGGCTATTAAAGCTGAGGTCAATAGTTTTTAGTGAACTACAGTCACCAATGTCAGGTGGGATGGTTCCTGTGAGATTAGCACCAGAAATTACAAGGCTTTGGAGGGAATGAAGGGATGAAATGTTGGTTGGAAATGGAATAGCAAGCGGAACGGATTGGATGTTAATTTCGGTGACGAAATTATCCGATGAACACTGAATGGAGGACCATTTACAAGGATTAGAATCAGAAGGATTCCAGTTTGAGAAAACAGGTGGTGGTGAGGGAGAAAGATGAAGCCAGGAAAGAAGCACCTCAACTTCATTGTAAGCAAATGCAGCAGCAGCAGCAGCAGAAGAAGAAGAAGACTGTGAAAGAAGAAGAAGAAGAAGAAAGAAAATTAGACAAAGATTGTGGTAAAAGAAGTGGTAGGTGCGGAGATGGTGGTGGTGGTTTTGGTGGTTCAAGGATTGCATTTGCCTAGGCATTGGCCTTTGCATTGGCCTCAATTCCCAAATCTATCTTCTTTGGTTTTGCATTGGGTTTCTCAGCTACTAGTATAAGTTTTTATCCCCCACTTTGAATTCTCAACCCCTTATTGTTCCTCAAGCTTTGCAAAGAAGCCATAAACGAAGGGACAAAGAAAAGAGGGATCAATAATTAAAAGTTTTACGACTATTAGGCTCTCTCCACCATCTTCACCTCGGGGTTCTGCGTTTCTCTGGGCCTTTTTTTTTGTTTTCCTCAACAAAGCAGAGGAGGAGGAGTATTACTATTATATTGTTTGAATAGCCATTGAAGGTGTTCACGCTTAGGATCAGAAAAATCATGTGTTATTGCATTGTTTTCCTCAAACCAACCCCTCCCCATCAGCTTGGTGTTTTTCTTGGTTTTTGGTTTCTGGGCCACACCAGCCACATTTACAGTGCCATTTTTTTTTTTTGGGGCAAGTTTTCATCTTCACAAAATTACAGTAAAAACAGTTGCTTTGATCGACTTCTTTCCGTCTAACTAAATCACAAGTTTCTTGCAGCATCTTTGTGTTACAATTTACAAATGACTAAAATAACGTTCCTGTGCAATGGCAATGGCAATTACAACGTGATAAAAGCACCGAGTCGCGACCAAAACTAACGATCATCTTCTGCTACTATAGCTGCAAGAAATTTGCTTTTTCTTTTATGCAGACACGTTTTATGTGCAACAATGATCTAATAATGGTGGATGGATGCTACTTAATCAGCAAGGTTGAAACTGAAGAACATTGTCCCAGATTTTTAGGCTTAAACACGTGATTGAAGATGTTTCATTTTTTCAACCTAATACGTCAGACACGACATTGGCTCTTTTTCTTTGTTTCTTTTTTGTCCTTCAAATTATATATAAATTCTGCGAGGGAAGTCCCGAATCCTTTAAACCAAGTCAATCTGAACATCAGAAATGTAGGATCACTTGGGGTTGGGTCCACCCTTGACTATGTTAAAGGTTATTATGAACATAAAAAATTAGAATTATTTTAGTACTAACATATACTCCCTCCATTTCAAAATGTAAGTCTTTTTAGCATATACGCGTAAATTAAAGAGACAATCATTTAATGAATTACTTTGTGTGTTAAATGTTTATTTTGCCCTTCATTATTGTTTTGAAACTATAACTAAAACTATATAAAAAGTGGTTACCATTATTTATTGGGGGTAATGTTGGAAAATTGATCTTTAATTTATCTTGAAATCCTAAAATGACCTACATTTTGAAATATTTTTCTAAATTCAAAATGACTTATATTTTAAAACGGAGGATGTATTGATAAAAGGTGAAAGCCCAGAGTTCTAGGGAAGTTTTATCAGTGGAGTGACCTTGGAATTCTAATCCAACTCATGAATTTGGATTCTCTCTGCATTATTTTTTGATTGTGGAGGTTTTGTTTGAACGCGGCAATACACTAATCTCGTCATCCTCAAATTCCTTCGCCGTTACAATAATCTTTTATACCAATCTTCACTGATCATCCTGTACATAAACATAGATAGCTACACCATTCTAGTGTTTTAGGTAGTCATTTGACGTTTTTTAAACCCCCAAAACAAAAACAAACAAAACAATCAAATTGATGTGCTCCGGCGACTTTGCCTTATAGAAAATCATACTCCTGAATTGGAATGCACATCCTTTTGTTTTATACTGTTCATTATTTTCCTCACTTGCATCTACTTTCTGAATTGTTTTAAACTTTAAACGCATACTTTGGGGAAAAAATTAGTGTATTATATGGCTGCACTTTACAGCAGGACCCCAGGACCTATATATCTATTACTCCTACTAATTAAAATCATAAAGTTGAAATAGGTTTAATAAAAAAAATGTTTCTGGAAAATAACATCATCTTTGGGCCTATTTTGTCGTCCCCATTTTCCCTCTTTCTTAGTTTGTCTTAAGCTCTCCCTTAGAGCAATACTTTTGTCACCTTACATTTCCTCTATAATTAGTATTCAAAATTACATCATAAACTTTTGTCACCGGCTATGTAAAAAACAATTTACCTCAAAAAAAATAAACAAATAAGCTTGAAATGGGCCCAAACTATATTAATCTCCCAACATATAATGGACCGAAACAGAAGATTGATTTCCGGGCCCAGAAGAAAGTCCAAAATATTTCAACAATGTGATCCATTCTACCTATTCAAACCCAACTCAGTTCGTCCATTTATTTTTATTATTTAATAATTTTTAACCGAATAAATTATAAAATATTAAAAAAATAATTAAATTTTCTAATATTTTATAATTCATTCGGTTAAAAGCTAAATGTGATTAATTATACACTGTTATAAATATATTATAATATGTGAATATCCACGAGGTAGGAGAATTATATTAGGATTCTATGTATAGAGATAATATATCGTTAGAACTCATATTCATTGATCTTATCACCTACAAATAGAGGCCAGTCCCTATTGAATTTGATGCACCTGAATCCTCTTTCTCTCTCATATTTATTCTTCTTAGTTTAGATATATCTCATATTTATTTCTTAGTTTAGATATATTTTATATCTCATGTCTATTTCTTAGTTTAGATATATTTTATAATACATTATCAGTACGAGATGTAGCCAATGAGTTTTATAATACCACTGCCTGAATACCACTGCTTGAACTTAGTGTGTACCACTACCTGAACTTAGTGTGTATTAATACTAACATGTTGAAGTTTTCAGTAAATATTTACTTAGTGTGTATTAATACTAAAAGCTTGAAGTTTTCAGTAAATATTTAGTTTTTGTGACAGCAAATTTTCCGGAGATTTGTTTCTTTCCGCAACTCCGAGATTAGTTCGCGGTGTTTAAGTCTCGTGGCCATTGAAGTACCGAAGACAAGGACGTCGTCAGTATACGTATTTTTTTTTTGGTTTTTTTTTTATCTTGTTTAATGTTTAATTCACGGTGGCCATTGAATTCCATTTTGGCATTTTTTTTTTTTTGGATTGTTTTGATTACGGTGTTACGCACCTGGTGGCCGATTATGGATGATTAAAGTGTATATTTTAAAAGCGGAATATAGAGAATTATCCGTGCACAAAGATTGCATTCTATATGAAAAATTTGGGGATTTTATTTGTTGAAAAGGCCAAGTACAAATCAAGGTTATGCTTAAAGAGATGATAAGTAGGTCTGCAATCAATAAACCGTTTGGTGGTCACCCATGCAAGTATTGGTTTTTTTTTTTTAAGGGTTCAATTTTGTCTATGACCAAATATTTTGGTTTTTTTTTTTTTTTATGCTGGGATTTTTGTTCCTAGAAATCCTTTTGCTTGCTAGTAGGAAAAAGAATTTTTACCTTTTGCTTAGGAGTTCAATTATTTTTGCTCGTGTTGATGAACAATAATTTTTCCGAGGTATAACAAAAAAAAAAAAAATTGGGTTGCCGAATTATATTGCTTTGGGTTGATGGGGGAACGATTTCTTTTGCTTGATGAGGGGGAGTGTTTTTTTTTTTTTTCCTTTACCCTAGCCGATGCCCCACTTATAAGTAAATTTATTTTGTTTTATTTAACAAACCAAAAGTAGGTTAAATTGAATATTTTAATACTCCCTCTGTTCCATAATTATTGTCCAGTTTGAGATTTCACTTTTAGTACAATTTGAACTAGAAATGACCGTGAAAAGTGTACGCCACCCGTGAAAGGGTGGCGTGTTCCTCCTGCGCGCGCAAAAATGCATGGACCCTCTATTTTTTTAAAAAAAATAAATAATAGGGGTAAAATATTTTTTTTAAATATTTTTAGGGCGTTCAAAGGAAAAAATTAGGACGCTTAGACCCGTTACAGAAATTTCGGTTTAATTTTTTATAGATTAAAGTCCCGAAACACACATTGCACAGAAACCCCGCAGTTCTATTAACAAAGCCCAAACTATTTGACCAATCTGATCCAATCTTTTGAAACCCAACTCGGTTCGTTTTTTCTTCTTCCCATCTCATTTAATGACTGTTCGCAGCTGAAAGCCCTGGAACCTGAGTGTCGAGACTCATCTAAAATCGACGAAGAATTAGGCACGATTCTATACATCACCTTTGAAATTGACATTTTCCTGTAATTTTCCGTTTGATTTTGCTCATCTTACTTGGACTGAAGTATAGAATGACAACGGTAATTCATCAATCGCCCTCTACTCCTTACGACGCCCGAGATTCACTGAGTAACTACTCTGGCGATGATTACCACCTTCACAATCAGGTTTGTTCCCCCTCCTTTTTGTTAGATAGTGTAAAACATATATACAGTTTTACTCCTGAGCTTCAATCATTAAAAGGGTTTTTTTTTTTGTGTTGGTATTTTTTAGGTTAATTATCTATGCTCCAAAAAAGGGGAGGGAACTGTAATTTCTGGGGACCCGACAGAGGCTGAAGTTTCGCGTCCCGTTAAGAAGGTATTTCTCTGGCGCTTTAGATGTATTTTCTTAAGTCACTTGAATTATCGGGCAACAATTAGGGCGAGAATCTAGTATTCCTTTGATTTGATTTTTCTTTTTCTATTTTGCTGATCCCATTTCATTTTGTCTCTTGGTTGGATTGAAGGCGAGAACCACAAAAACTGAATGTGATCGATTGTACTCTGGAGAGGAGGAGGAGGAGGAAGGTGTTAGTTTTTTTCCCTCTTTTAATTGAAGAAAAAAACACACTAAAAAGCTTAACTATAAAAAATGTTTGCAGTTATTTCTGTTTGTTGTTGTTTTTCTAGGATGGGGATGATGGATACCCCCACAGAGAAAAGGGAACCACAGCTCTTTCTTTTGTTTGCGGGGGAGGTCTCATGGTAGCTACTGACCATATGGATGGTGAGTTTTATGTAAGTTTACTTTATTTTTATTTTGTATATTTTAATCTGTTTACCTGCTGCATGAACTAACTCTCTGGTTACGAAATTTAGCATCAAAAGCGTTTGTGGAGAACGTTGTTGATCTTAGTTCCCATGTGCTTGTCACTGTTTCTGGTAATATTCCCAATGCTGGATCTTTTCTGAGGAATCTCCAAATGCAGGTACGTATATTCCTGTCCTTTTTGCTAGTATACCATCACTTGAGAGTTATAACCATGTCAAAACGCATCCTGGATCGGTGCCTAGTTTTCATTTGAGGCAAACATGAAATATATTATGTAGTTAACAGAAATCTCCCATGTTACACTATTTTTATTCTCAATTCTTAGAAGAATAGGTTAATAATGAACCATCTCAATGTTTGTCTGCTCATATCGTTATGTGCCGGATGTTGGAAGATTGTTGATTAGTTTCATTCATTGATACCAGTACCGCGATTATGAAGCTGCCCAGGGAAAAAAATCCGTTGATGAGGCATCACAGTGGGTTGCCAATCAAATGTCTTCTCGTTGTGAGGAAGATTTGTCAGTACAACTACTAATTGCAGGGTGGGACGTAAAAAATGTTAGTAGAACTGTTCTATGTTGATTTTAGTTGGTAGAGTTCCCCTCCACCTTCCCTGTACTCATGAAATGTTGGAAGATTGTTGATTAGTTTCATTCATTGATACCAGTACCGCGATTATGAAGCTGCCCAGGGAAAAAAATCCGTTGATGAGGCATCACAGTGGGTTGCCAATCAAATGTCTTCTCGTTGTGAGGAAGATTTGTCAGTACAACTACTAATTGCAGGGTGGGACGTAAAAAATGTTAGTAGAACTGTTCTATGTTGATTTTAGTTGGTAGAGTTCCCCTCCACCTTCCCTGTACTCATGAATTTTACGTTTTTGGCCTCATGTAGGGTCCTATCTTGTATTGTGTGGATGGTGAGGGTAACCGTAAGCAAGGAGTAATTGGGGCCACTGGATCTGGTTCAGATATGGTTTATTGTTACAGTGAAGATGGGTAAACTCCTTTTCCATTTCATTTATTAGTGGTTTTGTCATTTTTTGTTGTCTTGAGTTGTTTATTTCCATGTATTAGTCTCTTCTACGATATGTGCCGTGATGATGCTGTGAAGTATGCTAGAGAGGTGATTAATTATGCTGCATCTGGACTTACATACTTCAGAAGACTTGGTGAGGATTGTGAAATTGGTGGTTTCCTAAGTGGTATGTTCGTCCTCTCAGTCCTCTTTGCTTTTCTTTTCAAACAAAATATCTGCTTTTCATTTTTAACTTCTGATGAGTATCCCGCCGCCTTCTTGTTTTAGGATTCTACGTCGGAGCTACTGGGTGGGAGAAGGCCTTTCATAATGTTCCTGTAGAAATTCTTCCTCAAGATATTTTGGAAGAGGTTGTCTTCTAGATCATACCAAGTACTGCATTCCCTGTGTAGTTTTTGGCTGCAAATTTCTCTTGGACAATTTCTACTTTGTCGGACTTATAGAATCGTAGAAATTACTGTATGTTGTTTGTGTGGATGATTTCTTTTCAGTTGGGAGTTTTGCTCGAAGGGTTTGCCTGTTGTCAGCTGATTAATCACTGTTATTTACCTATAATGTTCAAAGTGTGGAACATCTGCTTGAGCTACCAAACTTTTATAGTGATTGTCATTTCCTTCATATCAACCTAGAATAATGCGAAGACCGAAGGAGAAAGAGTCTCCGCCTGGGATACATTTTATTAGTACCATCTAATTCATTGCAAAGGTAGTTTTAACTTAAAGCATCAAATCAAGTGGGCTTCAAATTTTCTTATTTCCTGGGGAAAGAGAAAGGCTATAGAGTTAAAAGGTTGATGACATTTTTTCACCAGTTTGATTAGTTCCGATGATGTGAGCGAAGTACTCTTTGATGAATGGATGGTACAAACTACAGGGAGATGCACTTTTTTTAGGTTAGAGAAATTGAAAGATCTTGGACTAGGGTCGCTTCAAGTTTGAGATAATCTTAGGCCAGTGCTAGGGTCATTACATCAAAATTCAATGTAATTATGTTTTTTTTTTGGGGGGGGATAAAGAGGGAATATTTGACCATGATACAGCCAACGGCTGTCGAAGGACTGTGATTTGGTTAGAAAGGATCAACTTTCAGCTGAACTGGGAAACGAAAACTAAAATCATGTAGACTATCGGCCTTTCCATCTTTTATTTTTTAAAGCATAACACCACTATCCAGGCTAATGTAGACCCAAGCTAACTAAACTGGGGAGCCAAAACTCTAGAGGTAAAAAATGGAGTTTTTACTTGAAAAGTTTTTGGTAATCAAAACAATGTCATCTCAAATTATGCGAAATTCAGGAATCCTAAGTATTTAGAACCATTAGATGGAAAAGACAAAAGAGAGTCCTGTAAAGTTTCTTTACTGAAGTGAAGGATCAAGATGACATATTCTGGTTGTCGAAGCATTCATTCTTTTCCTTCTTGTCATTAAATGGTGGAATTAAATAAATTGGTTGGTATAAAGGTTTCTTTGTAAAATTAGGTTTAAAGTGGAACTACCACCCTGACACTGCATTATAGTAATTTCTAGTCAGCCTTTCTTGAATGAAAAATCCCAATAGAAAGTAGTAGTAGTTCCTTAGCCAATAGTTGCAATGGAAATCTCTGCACTCAAAAGAACACTGATTACTGTGAATTTCAGCTGCATGTTTTAAAAACCGATTTCAAAAACTCATTCTTTACTGTCAAAAACTCCCTATTACTGAACTGGTTTCAAACTCTGTAGGAAAGCAAACTTTATTAGCAATGGGAACACATTGTTGAAATCAAAGTTTGTTCACTCAAAATTCTCGTTCTCCATCGTCCCCGCCTTCCCTTGTGGCTTGTAGGAACTAGGAGCACCAAAATAATCATACATATAACCATCCCAAGAAGGCCTTACCAAAAAAGAGACCCACTTTCTTTCACCATCCACCTGGATTTTCATATCCTCTCACCATTTTTCTGATTCTCAATGGAAGAAAAGCACATTAGCCAAGAACCGACAGAATCAAGGTTGGAGGGAAACATAGAAGCACAGACATAGTTAATAATCTTCTATATTCCGTGCTGTTTATTTGGGAAAAAAAATGGTTGATTAATAGCAAATTAATGGAGGAAATGAAAATACAAGTATTATTTTTATATTGCTAATACTCCTAGATTTTATTTTATTTCATTAGTTTCATAAAAGAATACGAATTTTTCCTTTACAAAAAAAAAAAAAATTCAGGAAAATGGAAATGGGAGATGATCTTGAAGATACAGTGGGAACCACAGTTGTGGGCTTTACCATGAGAGGAGGGATCATTTTTGTATCTGACTCGTTGTCCCACAGCTCCAAGACGGGCGAAGGTTAGTTGACTTTTAATTTTTTTTATTATACTCTAACTTGTGCGCTGGTTTCTTTTTTCTTGGTTACGCATGAATTGAGTGAAAAAAAATTTCTCAAAAAAAAAAGAAAAAAAAGAAAAAAGAGAGTGAGATTTATATATTGATGAGTACTGACCTTTTTTTTTGTGTTAAAAGTTAAAATATAAATTCAAATATCTATATTTTGTTTCCCCCGGCCGGGATAAAGAAAGAATTAGTTTCGTTTAAACATTTCTTTGATAGTACTGATCTAACAATATCTGGAGGAGCTTCATGTAGTTAAGCCCAATGTTAAAGCCCAGAAAATTTTACCTCTTAAATTTTCTTTGGTGGGGGCCGGATCCGGAGCATCGAAGCATGTCAAATCTAAGCTAAAAGGTCTTCTGCAGGAGGTACTTAATTATGTTGTGTTTTCTCACGCATTCGTAGCTATATTTATAATAATAGTACTATATAAGATTGAGATCAAGTAATTATTATTATTTTTGTAATATATATATGCTAGATGGAGGAGTTGGATAATGAAGGGGGAACCATGTCTCTTCTAGATGCAGCTGAGTGGTTGCAAAAACAAATCCGTTCTCGCACCTCCTCCTCCTCCTCGTCATCATCATCTTCATCGTCAACGTCATCAAAACCTGAAAGATTCTACCGGCTACTGATAGGAGGGTTCGCCGGACCGAAAAACGTAACCTTCACTTAATTGACTTATTTAGCATTTTATTTCAGAAGGATCTAAACATGATTTTTTATTTTTGAGAATATATATATATATATATATATATATTGGTTGGGGGGTTGTTCAAGGATCTAAACAGTATGGTACTCTGTATTGCTTGGAGTCCAAGGATGGGAATGCTTCTAAAGAACGCTATTTCTGCATTGGGAGTGGTGAAGGTCCTATGAAAAGATTTCGAGAAAAACCTTACAAGTAAGTAATGTATTACACTATTAATCTCCTTTTTCAATCATATGATATTCGAATAGTCTAACTGTAGGAATGCTTGCGAGCCTTTTTCAATCATATTTGAGACGTACGTATGCAAAATACTCTTCTTTTTACAATTTAATGATGCGCCAAATTCCACCCTGTAAAATGTTACTTCCCATTACATGATAGAAGATGTTGTTCTACATAGATATGAAAAAATTTTGGGGATGAGTAGTAAGGACAGTAACTATGAATAATAATTTTGCATTTTAACTACTTAGTTAATAGTGCATTACTTTTTCTTCTCCTTTTTTTTTAAGTTTTGTGAAATATTAGAACCACGTATATCTTGAAACGAGTGTTTTTTTTTGGGGGTGTGTGGTTCATAGGGCTGCGGATGGGAGAATGCGAAATTGGGACGTACACCAGATGACCTCTGATCAAGCAGCAGAATTTTGTAAGGAAGCCATTTGCTACGTTTCACTAAGAGACCGTGGCACCGGCGGCCATGTCAGTGGTATGTGTAATTAAAGTGCTCTAGTAAAAAAAATAAAAAAAAAAACTCTACGTACGTAATTTATTTCTATTTTCATAAAAAAAAAAAAACACACACACACACACACACAATTACACGTTTGTTTCTGCACTAATTAATGAGTATTTTCCCTTTTTCCTTTTAGTTTACTTCTTAAGCAGGCAAACTGGAGAATGCACAAAGATTGTGGATGAGGAAGATATTGAGGGTCTGTTGGACAATCAGTACCCTCACCTCAGAAGGGAATACCAGCAAATGTTGGCCAAGAAACCTCGTGCCAGTTTTAAAGCTAAAAAATGAAAAAATGGATGATGTTGATGCTGCCCTTCTTAGCCAAGTTGCATTGTTGAGTGACAATATTCATCAAATAATTATTAGCATATGTATTATAAGTATCACTCTTTTATTGTACCAACTGAATCGTAAGTGTTAGAATTGGGGGCCATTAATTATCAATCTCTTAAGTTATGTTTCAGAAATTTGCCAACACTACCCAAGAACTCGATCGGTACTGGGGGCACACCAACAGGATGCCTCAATTTTTATTTTATTTTGGGAGTATAATCGGCTTATAAATATTTTTACAATTTGGATTATATCTTATGGTTTTAGAATTGTAAACCTAGGCAAATGATGGGCAGAAAGAAAGGAAACGTGGCGGGAGAAGAAAAAGCTCTGAAAAATCATGTCTAATTTTCACCAAGTTTGTAAATTGTGAATTGTTAGTACTTAGTAGAGAAAATGATCATTCTTGATTCATTAATAGTCATTCATATATAAAAAAAAAAAAAAATCTCCCAATTTAATTTATGGAGCATGCATCCTGATTTATTTAATTTATAAATGAAACAATAAGCCCTTAATCTGCAAATCATGAATCCCAATTTAATTTAGAGCGCATCGTGTCCCATTTGTCGTTTTCCTTTGGGACGGGGAGAGAGAGAGAGAGAGAGAGAGAGAGAAATTTATGTTTCCTTCGTTATTTTTCACCATTTTCGTCCTTCATTCAGTTGTAAACGTCTGTTATTGCAGAATGTATTTAATTTGTGCTTTATTTTTGGTTATCTACATTTTTAATTTTCTGCTTGTCTGTTAGAAATTTTAGATATATTTGCATGTTACGGAGATAGAATTCGTCAATGTTGATGAAAAAAAAAATATTAAAACAAAAACTGTGGAAGATTGAAAAAAATCATTTTTTGAAAATATAAGTTGCAACTGTCTAATTTCCATTTTTCCTTACTAAACGTAGCAATTTTCATGGCAAATTATAAAATTTCACGACATATATCATCAATTCTCGCGAGAAGAAAAAAAAATACATTCCTTGCTATGATAATCAAATGTGAGAGTTGGTTTGGATTAATTTATTCGATGTTTTAAAAAATTATACTTAAACTAAGTTGGTAATTATGTGAGCTAGGAGGTGATTAATTTTGCAGGATACGAACTTGCATATATACTTCAAGGGACTCGGTGAGGATTGTGGACCCGGTGATCCTCTTAAATGGTATGTCTAATTTTTTTTTTTAAAAAAAGAAAAGATTATCTTTAATTCATGTTACCTTCTAATGAGTATCATAGGGGTGGAAGAGGGTCTTTGTAGTAGTTCCTTCTGAAGATCTGTTGGAAAAAGGCTTTAGAAGACAAGGCTTTTGGATTTATTCTGATAACTGTATTAGTTGTTTATATATGTAGCTTAATGGAGTTGGACTTTGGAGTACCTCAAAAGAGATACTCCCTCCGTCCCATAATTATTGTCCAGTTTAGGTTTTCATTTCTAGTTCAAATTGTACTAAAAATGAAATTTCAAACTGGATAATAATTTTGGGACAGGGGAGTACAAGGAAATGGAGGCGAAGATGCAAGAATAAAGCAATATGAAGTATGAACACTCCTAATGAAATTATATCATGATCAGATAACAAGGGGGGAAAAGCAAAATACTGGACTAAAATCATCCCAGAAAGATGGTTATAAGAAAGATTCAAACCCTGCAATTGTGGTAGTGATAAGTCGGATATTTTTTCCGGAATTGAACCCTCCAACTGTTGTAGGCTGCACCAAGTGGTTGTCATCCAGAAATTAGCACAGTAAGATTAGTACACTGAAAAACACACTTTCAATACACTGGAGATTTTGTTGGATCCTTTGCTGACAATAAACTCTCTGATCCCTTTGCCCAAACAGCTTGCGGAGTTGAAGATGTGTTTTTCAAGTGTACTAAATCTCACTGCGCTACAAAGTTCTCCTATTTCGGACCCGGACAAAATGGTTATTTCCGATGCCAGGATCAGTGAGAGGTTTGCAAGAATTCCAATTTCCGAAAAAACTAGTTTCTTCAGGAACCCTATTCTGATTAATTTTGATTATTTCTTTTGGTTGCTAGAATGGAGTATTCCGAAAATTTAATGAATTACTTTTAGTAGCTAGGAGGATGTCTTGGGAGTAGCTCCTGTTTGTTGTTCTGACATCGCGTGCATACCCTTTGTTTCTGAGAGAAGGATTGCTTTGTAAAATGTTTGACGTTGTAGCTGGCGTGTTGCAATGAAACGATGTGGCATATGGTCATCATCAAGGATTGCTTTTGAAGTGTTTGATAAGTTTTATTCCAAGTGATGAGAAGTAACGGTTTGGTGGTGTTGACTTCTTTGATTCTGAAGTAGTTGTACATAACTACACCACAAAGAACTGCAAGGAACACTAGCGATCATTCAAATGAAATTCCTTCTCTATAGGAAGTAGTGGTATTGGTTTTTTTTATAACGTGTTTTCCAAAAAAATTGGACTAGAACAAAAGTAATCATTTTGAGGAATGTATATACATGTTTCATCGACTAAACAAATCAACTCCTCCTTATCGAATATAGGGAAGTACACATGTTGGACAAATGACTATGCGCCAACTAATTTCCTCTAAATTGTAACCAAAGTTGCAACATATATAATAAAACCTACAATTGCTTTAAAACAATTTCCATTTATATGAAATATACCCAAGAATAAATTTATTTGGTCTCGTATAGTGTTGATCTTCTCTCAACACAAATATAGATCAAACAAAAAGCACTTAATTTACATGTAAGATCAACATTTTGGTCTCCACCTTTTTTGTCCAAGGTAGGCAGCCAAATGTTGTCTTACACACAGCACCCCATATAGGCCTTAAAAAAAGACACCCACCAAGATTCAATGAAACAATTATTTAGTTTAAATTCTATTGTAAATAATCCATGCAAATTTCTAATTCATTCTTGTAATTATATAAACATATCTCTCGTGTAATACTCCCTCCATTTTAATTTGTAGGTCGTTTTAGATTTGGAAAGATTTTTCAAAATATAGATCGTTTTATGAATTTTAGGCAAATTAATGACTATTTTTCCAATTTTACCCTCAATAAATAATGTCAATATATTTTCATTTGGTCTGGTTTATAGTTACAAAGTAATTAATGGGGGTAAAAATAGATATTTAATACATCAATTAATGGTTAGATGATTGTACAATCCTTAATATATGTGCAAAAGCCTAAAGTGACTTAGATTTTGAACGGAGGGAGTATAATTTAGCATTAAGTATAACACTGCCAAAGCGGAAACAGATTTCTCAATCTTCAAAAACTACCCAATTTAATGGGGGCATAAATAAGTAACAACGCCTTACGACTGACCACCGGAAATAATTGGAAGCCTCGCCCGGCCAATCCTTCACAACACCAATCAAAAAATACTGGTACCTTGGATCCTAATTGTTGGGTCTATGGGAAGTTGGCAACATCATTATGATATTATTGTTTCGATTAACTTGAATTCTTCCCTCTTTCTACTAAAAAATTATGGCACTGGGATGAAAAGTATTCGTATGTTTCTCATTGCACATCTTATGACCTCTTAAAGTTGTAATCTCCCGTACCACCAATTAGAGCATTTTGGTACTATTATTTTGATTATAAACAAAAACGAGGTATTTCCAAAAAAAAAAAAAAAAAAAAACAAAAACGAGATGAGTACTATAGATATGATCAGATTCATTTGTCATGATGATGGCCTCCGGAGCCAAGTACAAGGGAGATGGGGCAATTGTCCCAGCTGTATTTTTCCCAATTACCCTTAATATACACCTAAATTTACACAAATTTGTCAATATTTTCATTTTTGTCCAAGTAAAAATTCAAAAACAAGGGGTATAAACAAAAATTACAAAGTAATGTTTATTTCGATGGATAAAAATTCTTAATAGAGGGTTGATTTTCACTACATGTATTAATTAATGGTCAATTACACTTTAAAGCAAATAATTATTCCAAATTTAACTTCAGAATTGATTTCTTAAATTTTTTAAAATCTTTTTTCACATGCATCCTTTACTCATTTTCTTCACTTAAGGGTTCGAACAAATGGGAAAAAAAGAATTTCCATTCTACTTGCTCTAGATCTATCTGCTTTCTTAGAACTCTTTTTTCTTTTTTTGTGTGTGTATTGATAATCTAACCCTTTTCTTATATATATAAAAAAACCTTACTTGAGTTTGTAATTATTTGTGAAAAAACATATGAGTTGTCGTAAAAAAATTTTCTATGAATTTTATCATGTCCTCCGTCTCATGAAAATAATTTATATGGTAAATTATGTTGTTTATAATTTATAATTTAATTTAAAATTTATTATACATAGAGTTATTCTTTTTTAATAATGAACATTTTTTAGAAGTTATATTTTTTTGCCCCACCTAATGTTCCGGGCTTGTCTCCGCCCCTGCCTCCAATCAAAGATCGAAAAAAAGAAGGGGCGGAAATATAGCTCAGCAAGATTAGTACACTTGACGAACACGTCTTCAATGGTACCGTTGGGAAAATTTTATTAGTAAGATCAAGACATGCCAGTGAAAAGGCCTTCCCAATTTCCCTTAGTAATGCACCAGAGGGCTGATTGTAGGTTGCTGAAATTTGATGCGGCCCACAAACTTACAGGAACAGTACCCCTGAAGTTATTTAAGTCCAGCACAAGAAGCAAGTTGGAGTTGCACCCCCATAAACCCCCAATCTGGTTGTCATTCAGACGGCTCAGTGAGATTAGTACACTTGACAAACACATCTTCAATAGTACTCCGTCGAGAAGATTATCCGAAAGACCGATTCTCGACAGGGAAAGAGCATCGCAAAGACCCCTCGGAATCTTACCAGTGAGCAAGTTGCTAGTGACTTCCAGTTGGCTGCGCAGAGTACCCATTCCCAATTTCAGCCGGTATTTGCCCTGTGAACAAATTATTTGACAGCAGAATCCGGCCGGAGAAATGGTTAATTCCGATGCGAAGATCGGTGAGATTGGCAAGATTTCCAACTTCAGTCAGAATGGAGCTGAAAAGAGAGTTGTCTGAGACATCAAAAGAGGTTAAAGATGAAAGGTTTGATACTTTGATTGTACCCAAAAAAAAAAAAAAAAGAGCTTCTGTGGAAGAGAGCCCAGAGAAAAGGCTGCTATAATATAAAGGGCTAAAAGTTGGAGATGCAGACTCAATATTGACGTTTTGACCAAGGATGGGGGAAAGAAGGAAAAAAGAAGTTCAAAAAAATTATTTTTTTAAAAATGTTGATTAATAATAAAGGGTTAAATTAAGCGTCTAGGCGATCAGCAATAGAAGAAGGCGATTTCCTTTTCCTTTAAGCCATTTTCGCAGTTTTTTTTTTTTTTTTTGAGGAAAATATTACTTGCATTAAAGATGACTGGATATGGTCCATCATCAATTGAGAAACAAAGGGAGGAGGTATACTCCAAAAATTTTTCAATTACAGAAGCATGTTTAGCAAATTTATGTTTGTTTCGTTTTTTAGTGTGCGTTTTTAGGTGTTTTTTGTATTGGGAATGTAAACAATGTATTGAAAATGTAAAAAAGTATGCTGGGATGGGACATTTATTATTTAAATATTTTAAAAATACCATCAAAAAATCTAAAAAACCAAGCCTAGCCTGGATTCAACGTTCTGGAAAAGCCATTTTCGCAGTTTAATCTAAATATCATGAGCAAATGTTAAGTTATCTCATTGGCAAAAAAAAAAAATAATAATAATAAATAAATATCATGAACATTTGTTTTTTACCATTTGGGACTAATCTAACATTTTGAAGGATGTGAGGGACTAACTTAGCGTTTATCTTTGTCCTGGGTTTCTTTCACAAAATCTTTTGATTTCCATATCCCGTCGACTAATCGACTTTACAAACACACCGGCACCAAATTAATTCTGATTTTTCTCCCCGTATATAAATTATAGAATATCCGGTATCAATTCAATCAACCAGAGTCCAGGGATGCATGTAGAGTAACTTAGATTACCGATATATAATATCTCAAATTGATCCATTGCCTCAATGGCATCAGCAATTTTTCCCAGTTCCGGTTTGCCTGTACTTCATTCTCCAACATATTACAGCAAAAATCCGGCATTGGCTTTCAGCCCATCTCAGTTTTTCTCTCCCAATTCAGTTGTGAAGTTGAAGAGGGAAATCGTCCGGCCAACCCTTAATTTCAAGAAATTAACAAATCGTGTGCCTACTGTTGTCTCTGCACAGTCCAATTTCCTTAGAGGTAAAAGGTCGCTCCTTTCTCACCAGGGCAGAATTAAACTCTCTCCCATGAAAAAAGCTATTGTTTTTTAGCCAGGAACTCTATTCTGAACTTTAATTATTGCTTTTGGTTTCTAAGATGTGTTCTGAAAAATTTGAGGGTTAATTTTAGTAGCTAGGATGTGTTGGGAGCAGCTCCTATTTGTTCTGTCATCGTGTTTATTGCGTACCTTGTTTCTGAGAGGGATTGCTTTGTCAATGTCTGACATTGTAGCTGGCGTGTTGTAATTGAAACAATGTGGTTGTGACAATGGTCATCATCAAGGATTGTGTTTGAAGTGTTTGATAAGTTGTATCCCAAGTTATGAGGCCTAATGAATTGTTGCTTTTACCGTGTTTTGAATTTCTGCCCCTATTTTGCAAGCTTGTAGTCACATTAACATCGGAAATTGTTGTCCCGCAGTTGTTCAAACTGTATTGAAAGTTGGGAAGGATGGGGTTGAAGCAGGAACCAATCTCATTCCTGTAAGATGTGGCGTCACTTTCTGTTTCAATTCTTTTTTCGCATTGAATGCTGATCTATTTTTGTGTCGTGATAGGATTCCATCCCAAGGCCGCTAGCAAGAATTGCAGTCTCTGTTGTTGGTCTGAGTGTTGGACTCTTTGTACTCAAGTCCTTCATATCTACTGCAATTTTTGTGCTGGTATTGCATCATTTCTCCCCTTATTGTAATTTGTCATTTGTGTATGTTGCTTTAACTTGTGTCGTGTTACATTAACATTTTGTCTCAATCTTGTTCAATAGGCTACAATGGGACTCATTTACTTTACATTCATAGCCTTAAACAAAAATGAAGGGCCAAAAATTGATTCGGAAAACGGCACCGGCACAAAATCTGTGGACGACAGTATCGAAGAAGCGAGAAGAATCATGGACAAGTACAAGTAACGACTCGAAGTATAAGTAACAAAAATTTCAAGGTCTTCTTCGCCAATGCCCATAGTAATAGACTAAGATCCAATTTTGATGTTCTACAATGTTAGTGTGATTATCATGATTAAATCATTTTCTCCACAATCATGTTGAACCTAATGGCGCGCTCTTTTGCATATAATTGCTTGTTTGCGAACGATTACATAGGTTTAGGCGAAATGAATGCAATTTTCACACTTATACTACGCAATACTGCGTGTTTAGCTTTCTCCAGCAATACAAAATTTTGCTATAACATTAATTAGCACAAAAATGTGCTCCGTCTTAGCTAATACAATTTTCAATTCAATTGCTAGCATCTGGGTCTCAATAGAATTCGTAAATGCACTAATTCTCTCTAGTATCCTTTCACGAATAAATTACACCAAAGTAGCTAAGGTCCTTTCTGCTCGTGGATGTAGAAACTAGAAGCCTACATAACATTTTCCTGTAGCTCCCAACTAAAGTGAAATCGGGACCGAAAGAATAAGAGCTTCATTCCATCTTAAGACTAAAATCTTTTAATGAATCAGAACAGATATTAGGCAGCGAGGTGCTCTCTCCAACCCATGGAAGTGCTTCAACTCCGAAAGGCTAAAAGATTGGGAGTCATGTACTTCAATCCAGCTCACTGCTCTGTACTTTGAATTCGTTGTCAAGAAATAATGTGGTAGATCAAGAAACGAGGAATAAACGAGTTTCTGAACTAATTACATCACGATGAGTGGCTGCTATAATGGCTTTGCCCCAAATGAGAGAGCCTAGAGGAAGCTAGTAGAGGTGCTTCTTCATCCACAACATCAGAACCTGAACTATTTCTTCCAGTCCGTAGCATACTTGTGCTATTCATATTCTCATCCGGGACATAGAGATCAGACAACTTCTTTTCCATCTTAAATTCCTGCAAAAATGAGCATTTCAAAACCATTGTCATCACCATCAAGAATATTAAACAGTCAACACCTGAAGAAATATATGAAATACAATACTAACCCTCGCTGTTCGATCAGCAAGATTCTCAACAGGAAGTGGTGTTGTTCGGACATCCTTGATTTTCAAGTAGTTGTACATAACTACACCACAAATGGCTGCAAGGAACAATAGTCATTCAAATGAGAGACGTTTAACCACTTACCAAAAAGATTTCATTTTATATTACAAGGTTTTAAACTCGATACATAGAATGAGCTTACCAATAGCATAACCAACAATATTTAATGTAGTGATTGTTGATTCCGGAAATACAACAGTTGAAAGAGCAATCAGAATCCAGTCTTTCAAGACACCAGCAACTCGAATGGTCACAGCACTCGTTCTACCAATGACTAAGAAGATTGAGAAATTCAAAGCCAGGGCACTAAGGGCGTTGGAGAAAAATACCCAGAAGTTAAACTGGATCTGTGAAAATTCCATTTGAGACTTCTCTAGCAGAAACCAAGGTGCAAAAAGAAACACAAAACTGCAAAGCAAATATAACACGAGTCAGTACCATAAACACACAGGTGGAGGAAAGTAAGAACATACAGGACTTAAAAGTTTCAAACATAAACTCTCCAAGGGAAAAAGGTAAAAAGGAGGAATAGTTATTGCAATGTTGCCCCTAATTTCTCAAGAGACCATGTCTACCAAGCCTCCACATGACTATTTGCAAAAATAACGAGTATTAATGTATGTCATCCGCTTCACAAGCCAAGCGACAAGCTTTCAACCAGGCACATTTTCCAAGGGTTACCAGTTCTTTTTTTAGGTTAACATTAGCTTCAAAGTCACTACCTAGCTTTGCACTAATGAAGACAGAAAATAATGCTTGAAATTAAAATCTTCTTCATGCATTAAAAGATTGCACAAAAATACCTGCATGGGGCAATGTAATATAAGCTGGTGATGGGATTGAGGGTCAAGCCCTTCTTTTGAAGAAGAACTTGAGTCAGGACGAGCCTGAGAGCTTCGGCAAATATTCCCGTGACCTGATAAACTGTACCAACAATGTTGAAATGGATTTCACCATAGGAAGACACTACAACTCCAATGCTAACCAACACCATGTTCAAGAATATGTCCCATCGTAGTTTATCAGTACCGCAAATTACAGCCATTACGAAAGTAGCCACTGGCACTGCATAACAAGGCAGAACACAACCAATCAGCCAAACTCCAAAGAGAAAGGGAATATATATATATATATATATATATATATTTAGCATGGTAGAGAACCACATACTTAAGGCTTTGAGCATCTGGATGAATGCTACAGAAATAAACAAATAAGCTGTGTTGCCAAACCTGTACAACCATGAAAAGCTTACTTCAGAGGACAATTGAAATAAGACAGAACATGTATGACATATATGACTGCTCTCAGTATGCAGTATTAAACAACAAATTTGGTTAATATCACAAGAAAAAGGAAAGAAGAACAATATGAATCCATGTTCATGCCAATTGATAATTATATCTTTGACCCATATGTCTGAAGTATCCACTGATCATAAGATAACAAACTGTAAACATATCAAATGATATTCCTTTCTCGAGTGCTTTTGCTAACTCAGGAATGTATGCTGCTCAAAGTATATAAAATGTTGCTTTTAATTTGCTTCTCAAGCATAAGCAAACCACTTAGTACATGCAGAAAAGCAGAATAAACTTAAACCACAATCTAAAGAATAGGCCTTACCAGAGGCTTGAGGCAAAGAAAGCACTGATGGGTATCACACAGGTTAAATATCTGCAAATTCAGAGTAAAAGTTATTAAAGTGATACTCGGCAAACCACAAGAATCTAAAAACATTAGGTTCACATCTTACATTTCAAACGTCATTTTGACTGGAGTGACAACCTGCACAAAGTGAGGGGGTGTAAGCCTCTTTCATAACTTAGGTTTTAGAATAAGGGATTTGGCAACACCAAGAAACATGAAACCATGTAAAAAAAAACTAGCAAGTTCAGCATGTTTGTGTAGCTTGTGAAGAGGTAATTGTGACGTTAGTGACAGAAGGAAATGACTGCAACTTAAATTTGAAGCTACGAACAGTAAAGGAGATAAGAGAGAAGTCCTAGGTCCCTTACCTTGAAAACACGAACAAGGAAAAAAGCTACCAATCCCGAAAAGCCCATGTGAATCATTGTAAGCGTTATTGGGAATGGGAAATTGAAGTACTTTGGTGAGAGAACCCACTGCATAAAATAACACATTACACACTAAAATAAGTACAGCAAAAAACACCCATTCTTTAATTGTAATGAGGCACAAAAGAATTAGCAAATAACTAGCAAATTCAGTAAGGTTGACAAATAATATTGATTAGAAGTAGTCCTTCCATCAAAGGAGAACAACAAAATAACTCTGTAAGACCAGAGTAGTTTTAGTTAAGTAAATATAAGGCCACTGAGGGTGAAGATAACAAGAATTACTTGTTTGAAAATACTGCAACTGCGTGTAGAAGGAGAAGCACAGATCATATACCTTGTTATACAGTATAACTGCCGATGAGAGCAATATATACACCAAAAGATACAGATACGTCAATACAAGCTGTTTGTTGATCATCATGTTGCTGCTGTCCACCAGGTACCTCAAAGGATAATCTCCACCTCACCAAAATCTGAGCATATGTCTTTTACTCAACGCCCGAAACAAATTAATAGGCGGAGATCTTTTGCCAGACATGAGGCACAATATCTAACAATCGGGCTTATCAATTCCCATAACCTTCCAATAGATTTCAGTATCTGCGGCATTCGGCAGGAACAAATAACAGTTCAGCAACTCATAGAGAAGGAATGCATACATGAAGCCTGGAATAGAAAGAATGATAAGCATTCTAGCATAAATACAAAACTTAGTCGTAATCGTGAATACACTAATCAATGCATCGATACACTCTAAAATCAAAGATCCAGGAACTAAATGCTGGGAAAGAGACCAGTATTGATTCATTTTATCTACAAAGGAGCTTTCCATGTGATGACCTAGAAAGCTGAATTGGCCAAGTAAATCAATTCCAACAGCCTCCTAAGAGATTGATAACTACAACATTGCATTTCTCATTAGCAGCATTAGATTGCGGACAAGTAAAACACTGTCTCTGTAAATCTTACTTTACTTCAGCCTTCAATGTAATACGCACTGAATCTTTGATATCTATACTAGTACAGTCAATGCCACATCCCAAAACGACAACATAACATTTCTAAGAAACACTGTCACACAGAACACCAGGACACGAATCGTCACCTAAAACAAGGAAACTTAGACGAACTTAAGCCCCTGTCTAGATCAACTAAAGCAATACAGAGCTCTCACTGTAGAATCCGAGTGTATTAAACAAATCACTTAAACATATCGTCGGAAAGTTAAATACAGCTTATTATCTAAGTAATTAATCGGATCCATTCAAACAAAATTCTCCAATACATTATTAAACCCTAACCTAACAAAAACAAAGCTGCAAAATCACGAGCTATACTGAACAATGCGAAGGAATACGTGAAATCTCACCGCAGAACAGCAACAATAAGCAGCTCCGACGAAATCTTGTCGGCAAGAAGCAATGGTGGAGACCTCCCAGATCTGATCCTTTATTACAATAGAGTGAGAAAACGTGCAAAAGAGTGCCGACTGACAGAGAGAGAAAGAGGAAGGAGAGAGAGAGAGAGATTTCGCAGAGGAGCTTGCGTGAACGAGATCGTCGAATCGATGGTGGGAAAAAAAACCGGGTTCACCTATCCAAATTGGGAAATTTGGGTTTGTGTAAACTTTGCAATTTCTTTAGATTCTGGTCTGTAAGAGAAGATACGAGTTTCACCGTCGATCTGTTTGATCGTACGGTCTTCGTGAAAACTTTACGTTTCTTTTGGTTTTTCACTTCCAGCCAGTGCCTAACTGGCGGTAGAGTGACGTAATAGAGTGTACGTTTTGACTGGTGTCCATTTTTTTAATCGCATTCTTTTTAGCTGCATTTTTTCTTTTTGTCGTCGAGTAGTAGTGGGATAATTTTTTTATTTTTTCAGTCATTTCCCGAGATTTCACTTTTTTTTTTCTACGGATGTAACATAATCAAGGCTGATAATAATAATGTAACTAAAAGTTACTATATCCAAATAAAAAATTAAGGCTATGTTTGTTTTCTTTTTTCATGATTTTTTTCAGAATAATATAATAATAACTGTCCCATCTCAACATACTTTTTTATATTTCTAATACACTTTTTTACATTTCCAATACAGAAAACACACACTAAAAAACGAAACGAACATACCCTTAAGTCTTCAAGTTTTATGGTGCTTTTGAAATAATTTATTATGTAAAAAAATTGAAAATTTTTTAGTAATTAAGCTCGTCTCTTAAAAATTTGGTCATTAAATATATACATAATAATATTGCAAGTAAAAAATTGAGAGTAGTCGAAGGGGGAAATTCCCTCTAGTTGAAATATCTTTGTTTGTGGGCACAGAAAAAATCTTTTGGGGTCAATACTGAAATTTCAACTAGTAAGCTCTAATTCATATGATGTTTGTTGTATGGAAAGAGTATTAAATAAGATTGGGGATCCCATAAAATTATGAGAAATACTCTGATAACATCATATAGGACTGCACTTCAGTTCTGTTAGGTCAGATTTTCCTTTTTGATCATAGAAAAAATTGGAAAATGGTTTGTTTCACTTTGCCATCATATATTAGGAAAAAATCAAAAAAGAACTAAGGACTGAAAAAAAAAAAAAAGAACTTGCGAAATCCACAAGGTTCATTAGCCAACTTTATATTTAAACTTTTAGGACTATATGCTAACACGAAAAGATTCTGAAACAGGGTAAAAAATCAAAATATAATAACATGTCCTTATCATATCATGGGAAACCGGTTATATAAATCAAATGTTGCTATAGTACCCATACAACTAATTTCAATTATCATCTACGATATAGTACATATGTAGAGAAAGCGGATAGATGTTAGGAAACATCATTCAATTGCAGTTGAATTTTCAAGTATCATAGAAAATTGGCATTTGGAGTGTTGAAAAGTGTTGATATATCATTTCCTCCTCCTACTCGGCTGTTTTCTTCTGGTTGTAGTTTGGGCCAAAGATTCCAAGCCCAATGTATATCGTTAAGTTAACAATGTTCTCTCACTTGTCGATTTGGGCACATCCATTTTACAATTTATGTGATATTCTAGTGCGTAATTTGTATTGGGCTTTTCATCATTTCGTGCACCCCAACCACTAGGAAAAGAAAGAGATAAGTATTATTAACCAAAGCGGTCGTGTTAGGGTATAAGGGAATCCTCTACCTTAACCATAAATAAGTTTGAATTTCGCAATAGGCATAGAGAAACTTTAAATACTTTGGCCAGTTGTCCCATCCATCGAGCTACCTACAATTCAGCAAGTGGAATTAGTCACTGTTGCCGACGGTGGACACCCTTCAAATATGAAAAAAAAATAAAAATCAGTATTATTCATGTACTCTCTGGAGTTCAATTGAAAAAAAATAAAAATGGAGTGATTGGATTGATGGATTACATCTCAAAAGCTCCTTAATTCTGCTCTTAAGTTAAAACAGAAATACATACCACCATAACCATTGCCTTAGTACCTATTTCATCAGTCCACAAAAAAAAGGGTCTTGTTAGGACTTCCGTAAAACTTAGGAGTACGAGAATACTATAGATACGTTAACATTTTACCAATCAATCAACCATCAGAAGTAAAAGTCATTTAAAAGCAAACAAATACATGACACTTATACTGGAATAGGAAAAAAAAAATACACATTAAATTATCGTGTTAAATTAAGATTCATTCAGTTCTACTGCAGCTAAAACTTTGGGAGGGCATTTGATTGACTCCTATGAAGAATTATTGAGGTCAAATCATGTTATTAACTAATAACTACAAGTCATGAAGAAGATCATCACAGTGTTACATCCATGCCCAACACGATTCTACAGGAAAGAAAACCAAGATGCTGGGGGTTGGTTAGAGACACTTTATGGTTTGGTAAATAAAAAACAAATGGAGTTTTACACAGTACAAAACTCTAGTAAATTGCATCATTTGTAGTTCTTTCTAGCCCAGCTTTGTCCGAATCACAAGAAACATCTCCCCAGTCCCCCCTCCCCACCACAAAGCACAAATCAACATTTGCGAATGCTGAGATGAAAAACACGTGGGCCCACTTCAAAACATGGGCTAGAAATCTTCACCTTCTTGTTTGTAAAGCTCGAGCCTCCAAAAAAAAAAAAAAAAAAAATTCAATATGACCATCAAACTTCTACTACCCTTTTTTTGCAAGCCATTGCTAATCGATCTAAAGCCATTTTTCTGCATTTTCCAAAACTTAAATTAGTTAAAAGAATTTGAGAAAATTTAAAGGTGTTTGAGCGTGCTGATTCGAAAGAGGGATTTAAAAGTAAAAGTTATACTGCTAAGCGCCTTGTTATCATTACTCCCCTCTTTACTTTTCACACACATATCTTTTCTATATATTCTGCTCAATCCGAAGGCAAAATCTGCTTCCTCACAATTAAAAATATTAGTACTTGGTATGAAATTTTTACTTTATACTTAAAACATATACTTTCATATATATCCCGATTTAATAAAGTTTGTTGTAAATATGTAATGGCTGATGTGAGTATTTCATAGTTCCTATAAATTATATGTTCAATTTATTTTGAAATAACTGTTCCATTTTATTCTACTTTTAAAAAAGATAAATTGAACTATCATTTTTAAATATAAAAGAGTATGAAAATATCATCATTAATCAATGTATCAACTTGTGATTTAGGCTAACGGCTAATATAAAATGCAGGGAAAAAAACAGTAATCATAATAGTCATTATGTTCACATAATCAAATGAAAAAAATGGTACGATCAGTAGACAAGACCTCACTCTCCATAGTCAAAATTTCTGTCAGCTTTACCCAAAAGGAAAACCTCAAAGGAAAAAAAAGAAAGAAAACTCTTGCCAGTACCAACAGCCAGCCCTTCACTTTTTCTGGGTTTTTCACCTTTCTCTTCTCCCCATAGCTCCTTCTCGAGTCTCAGTAACCTGGGCTGCTGCTTTATCCTCTCACTCCAAATTCTTCCATTCTTATTCCTTTAATGGCGTTTCTGAAACCCTCTCTGTGTCTCCTCATTCCCTTATTTATTATCACCCAAAGTTTGCATCTTTCTTCTTCTTCCTCGTCTTCTGATGTTGAGCTTCTTTTGCACAAGATTAAGCCTGCATTACAAGGGAGAGCCGAGAACTTGCTGCTATCTTCATGGAACTCTTCACTGCCACTCTGTCAATGGAGAGGCCTAAAATGGGTGTTCACAAATGGGACTTCTTTAGCCTGCAGCGACCTTTCTTCACCACAATGGTCCAGCTTGTTCCTTTACAGAGACCCAAGTTTGCATCTTTCCTCTATTCAGCTTCCATCAGCTAATCTATCTGGAGCACTCCCAAGAGAGCTAGGGGAGCTAACCAATTTGCAAAGTTTGTATCTTGGTGTTAATGCGCTTTCTGGGTCCATCCCATTAGAGCTTGGCTACAGCTCTGCTCTCTCTGATGTTGATTTGGGGAACAATTTGCTAAGTGGGCCTGTTCCTGCATCCATTTGGAATCTTTGTGATAGGCTTGTTTCACTTCATCTACATGATAATTCTTTTTCTGGGATTCTTCCCGAGCCCGCATTACCTAATACAACTTGTAGGAATTTAAGGTCTCTTGATTTGGGGAAAAACATCCTTTCTGGGACTTTCCCTGAATTTTTGACTAAGTTTTCTGAGCTTAAGGAGCTTGATCTTTCCAGCAATTCACTTTCTGGGCCAATCCCTGAGAGTTTGATTGGGCTGCGTTTAGAAAAATTGAATCTTTCGTTTAATAACTTTACGGGGGTGGTGCCAAATTTGGGAAATGTTAAGTTTGGTGCAGAGGTATTTGAAGGTAACCCTGGACTTTGTGGGCCGTCTTTGAGGCCGTGTAGTGGAAGCTCTGGATTGAGTTCTGGGGCTATTGCTGGCATGGTAATTGGTTTGATGACTGGTGCAGTAGTCATGGTGTCAATATTGATTGGATACTTTCAGGCAAAGAAGAGGAAGCATTTGGATGATGAAGAAGAAGAGGAAATGGAGGAAGAAGAGGATATAGAAAATGGTGGTGGCGGTGGCGATGGAAAGCTGATATTATTTCAGGGTGGTGAGCATTTGACATTGGAGGACGTTCTGAATGCAACTGGCCAAGTCATGGAAAAGACTAGCTATGGGACTGTTTATAAGGCAAAGCTTGCTGATGGAGGGACAATTGCATTGAGATTGCTGAGAGAAGGTAGCTGCAAGGATACAGGATCTTGTTTACCAATGATAAGGCAGTTGGGCAAGGTTCGGCATGAGAATTTAATTCCATTGAGAGCTTTCTATCAGGGAAAAAGAGGGGAAAAGCTTCTCATATATGACTATCTGCCTAACAAGACTCTCAATGATCTCTTGCATGGTAAGTTCAATTTCAGTGTTTCCCTTTGTTTGATTATTTTTTGTCCATGTGCTTTTGTGTTTAGACCTTTGAAGTAGTTACATTTTACAGCCAGGAATGTTAAGGTTGCACAAAACTAAATCTTTATTCATGCATGCTCATAGTATTGATTTACTTCCACTTTCTTCTGAAATGTCATTGTCTTATTATCACTAGGAGTACTTGAATGCAGTGACATCAATGGCCCAATGTGTATCAAAGTATAGCTTGTTTAACCATAAATGCAAATTGATGAACATTTTACTCCCACATTGAACAAACAAGGCTTGTAACAAAACAGAGATTTATAGGAATTTAGACAGATCAACAACTATGCTCATGTTTGTTTTGGTGGACACCTGTCTTCGTCTATGAAGCTCCTTAGCAACTTTAAATGGATCGACTGAATTTCAATTATATGTCACTACTTTGGCTCTGAAGTTTAAGTTTGAGATTTCCAGTTCATTTGTGGGAATGAGCCTTGATCCACTTGTATTACTTGTGTGGATTGATAGAACAAAACCACAGGATTTTTCTATGTACCCTACTGTATTGAGTGGGAAAAAGCGGGTATGTGCTAGGTGTTAGGTACATGGTATGAAATAGCCTTCAAAATATAAGAACATTGTGCTTCTGTGAGTTCTGTATCTATTAAGTATGTAAAAAGGTATTAAAGGTATTACTTCTCTATTTAAATACTCAGGTACAAATGCATGTGTATTAACTGAAAGCTTTCACTGACATGTAGAATCACGAGTCGGGAAGCCAGTGTTGAGTTGGGCTAGGCGGCACAAAATTGCTTTAGGCGTAGCCAGGGGTCTCGCACATCTTCACAGCCTCGAAACACCAATTACTCATGGGAATGTGAGATCTAAAAACGTTCTTGTGGATGACTTCTTTGTGGCCAGAATGACTGAATTTGGTCTTGACAAGATAATGATCCCATCTGTTGCTGATGAAATAGTGGCACTTGCTAAAGTTGACGGTTATAAGGCCCCAGAACTTCAGAGGATGAAGAAATGCAATTCCAGAACTGATGTTTATGCATTTGGAATACTTCTACTAGAGATTCTTCTTGGAAGAAAACCTGGAAAAAGTGGCCGAAATGGGGATTTTGTCGATTTGCCTTCACTGGTTAAAGTTGCTGTTCTCGAAGAAACGACAATGGAAGTTTTTGATGTTGAGCTTTTGAAAGGTATAAGAAGTCCGATGGAAGAAGGCTTAGTTCAGGCACTGAAACTTGCTATGGGTTGTTGTGCTCCGGTGGCTGCTGTTAGACCTGGCATGGATGAAGTAGTTAGGCAGCTAGAGGAGAACAGACCAAGGAATAGGTCCGCTTTGTACAGCCCAGTTGAAGCTAGGAGCGGAAGCGGTACTCCATTTTGATTTGTTTTTGTCATGCTTTGGACACTCCATTAATGCATTTTCACCTTTTTCTCCAAAGGAGAATATTCTTGTGTTTACTGCTTGCTTCTTCTGATTCATAGGGGTTGTTTTATAGATTTGCTATAGTACTAGTTTTAGGCTTTGCTAAAATTTGGTTTTGGCAGAAAGTATGCAATAGTGACTGATCTTTTAATTAGTTGAAGTACACAATAGGAAAACTAAACTGAAACCAAGAGGATTTTGAGCCAAGCTAGACAGTGAGGCGTCCTAGGAATTAAAGGATCAAGGGGAATAGTTAGAAGGCTGTGGACTAGCGTTTACATTTTTTAAAGTCATCACGGCAGCTTTGGTATAACACTCTACTCGCTGATCGCATCAAATGCAACTGAAACCTGCACAAAAATTACTGATCTTCAACCTGTTTTTCGGCTTTACCCAGCACAACTTGGTTGCTACCGGTTCATGAAACATAATCTAAGAGCCAATTACCACCCTCGATTGGTCGCATATATTTCTTATCATTCTGATACAAGCGTACAGTAGGAGTATGATTTAGTCGCAGCGTTAAAGAAAATGGAGAAACCGTGAAGGCACTGGTATAGTAATGCTGCTACAATAACAGCACAAAAACAAGAAATTTTACAGCAGCAAACAGCTTTTATATTTCGTAGTCCAAATCGTACTTACATCATGGAGGAATTCGAATCATTTTGCCCTTTTGTCCTAATACTTCTGGCAGAGCTAGGCCTATGTAATATAAGGGGAAGAGAGGTTCTTTCCTTAGCAATGGAGGAACAAAAAAGAAAGGGAAAAAAAAAGATTTTGTACGGAAGAAGGCTAAACATATTTAAGACTCATTTGGAAAGCAAAGAAAAATATATAGTTTCTTGGGTGAGGAGAGTGAAAGTTGAAGTGAAACAAGCAAGGAGGAGCACTTCGTGCCCCTTGAAGAAGTTAGTAGGTAACTGAAGTAGGCCGCGTCGAATTGTAGGAAACTAGACCAGTATTTAGAGGTTCTGGAAATGGGATACTGGTAGTGTAGTAGCTCTTATGGATGGGTGAAAAATGGTTTCTGTTTCTCCTCTTCTTGGCATCAATTTCGCTCTGTAATGCCTTAAAAAACTGTTTTGATCAAAGCTAACATGCCATTCCTCTCCGGCAACGAAGAGCACCTGCAGACGAGGTCAGGGATCCCACCAAAGATGAAGGCTTTGCTGCTAAACTGGAGGCTCTGGCATAGCTGGCTGAGGCGCCGCGCCCAGATGGAGTGAAGTAGGCTCCGTTGAGCATTAGGTCACCGTCTGATCTCCAGTTCCAGTGTTTCCAAACACTTTCACCTTCCATAACTCTTTTAGTCACCTGCCGATGATACCATTCCAATGAAATCAAACATTTGCTCACAACAAATTACACAATAAAACTGTTAAGTCATATGTCCAATTCCTATACATGGACTTACCTCTTTCGCGAAAGGATCAACCGGGGCAAGATATCTGTTGCCCTGACTGTTAATGGTAGGTGCACCACTGCCACCAATGGCATACATTTCCCAATGAGTGTAGTCATTGTTTACCACATGGAAGTATCCGTGTCGACACCTGCAGATCACGTGGCCGAATCCCAGTGTTAAAACTTAAAACAGCAAAATGCAAAAAGACACCAGAAAGAAAAAGCAGGAAAATTGCTGGAAAATATATAGTTCACCTTGGCATCCTCTGAATCAATCCTTCTCCAAAATGATTGTAGGCAATGGTGACCTGCATTTGCTTATCTCTAACGTAGGCGTCGCTGTGACCCAACAGCATGACCTACACTCACAAAATTCCACATGTAACAACAAATGTTAGATCCTCACAACAGTAAGGTTCTTAAGACGGTACAAAATGAAACTAAATATTACCTCATTGTGATGAGTAAAGTAGTTATTAGAGATGGTAATCGCGGTGGATCCCATAACGGCGTCAATGAGGCCATCGGCGCAGTTAGAAAGCGAGTTGTGATCAACCCAAATGTGGCTGGAACCAAAAATGGAAATACCATCTCCATCAGCAATAGTCCTCCATCCAAAATGAGTTGGGGAGCTTCGAACCATGGCATTACCAGTTGGTTTACAGTCATGTATACTTAAACCATGAATAATGATATTGGTAACGAATTGAGCCACAATGCAAGCCCCGCCGGCAATGTGAACATTAACACCACGGCCATCAATCGTCTTGAAACTGTTCATCAAGAGCTCCTGCTTTAAGGTAATCACCATGTCCCTCTTGAATATGATCCATAACGGTTCCTCCTGAATTACAGCGTGTCTAAGTGTCCCGGGTCTCGGGTTAACGGCGTCATCGTCACTCGGGTCGGTTACAACGTAGTACTTGCCGTCACGGCCGCCGATGGCGTTTCTTCCGAACCCAATGGCACAATTAGCCAGCCGTTTCCGGTTGGCTGCCCAGTTCCGGTCGCTCCTCCAGCAATCGTCAATCGGGTTTCCCGTTACACTGGAGAAATAATTCAACTTTCTCCTTTCTGTGCTGTTCTTAATGCTCCTGAAAAAATTATACACCATTCTTTTTAGTCCAATATGATCAATCAGTTTGCAACATTGAATTAGTCTATATACGGATTCCAAAGTTAAGTCATCATCATCAATTAAATTTATTGATTTTGATTTAAAAAGAATGTTTGAATAATGTTTTTTGCAAATTGCAAGTAAGGAATTAATGGTGTCACAAAATCAATAAATACAATACTAACAGGTATAAAAGAGTGTGCCATGTGAAATGAGATCCGAAACCGCGAATACGGTGCATACGGAAAATAGTACTACGTGAAATCTTGGGTTGGAATTAAATGAGTAAGGTGGAAGTGGAGGGTGATTTTGTAATGAATAGTGTGTCGGTGGGGTAACATTTCATAATAAATAAAGTTATGGACCCTTTGTCAGATTGGCTATCTGGAACCCGTGGGAAAATGCCCGGATCTGCCGACTACCCGAATGAAAATGTACTCCTTCCTTGGATGGACAATGATGAAATATACTCCATCCGGTCCGTAATTGTTGTCTAGTTTGGATTTTCATTTTTAGTTTAAATGGTATCAAAAGTGAAATTTTAAACTGGACAATAATTTTGGCACAGAAAGAGTAGATTATAGGGATATATTGACTTCTTGGATAAATTGAGACCCTTATACTTGATGATTTAGTCAAAAATTCACATACAGTTAGACTCGATCTCGGAAAAATAGTCTACTTCGGAAAAATTGTAAAATGTTATATGTAAACGTAACAAATTGACACTATCCATGAATCACGATTTGTTAGTTTGGTTTGAGTTGAGTCTACTGCCTGGGAAAGAAGCTGGACAGGAAGTGAAATTAATCATTCCCTCCGAATTCTAATCTTTAAAAAGTTGGTGTGAAAATAAAACCAGTCTCTGATGTGAACTATGAAGAGGTCAAATTTTTCTAGGAAACTACTCTTTCACAGTTTGACCGAATGTGTTCAATAACCACGTGAAGAAAGCAGATCTCATATTAGTCCTGGAAAGCTAACTTGGTAATTTCTATATATGGTTAAAAAAAAAAAAAAGAAGACAGCAGCATCCAAAGCAGTTTGACTGCTTTGAGTGTTCCAGTTCCATTCCATACTCAAAATTCAACCATCAAGAATTCAAAAGTTGAAAATAAGGTCAGAGAAAAAAGAGGGCAATGTCCTAAATGAAGCAAACAATTCGTATCAGACTGTAAAGTTCCTATATTACTACCTAGTATGATGAACTTATGAAACATGGAAACAACACATTAAGACAGAAACAGGGGAGAAAAAAAAAAGAAACAAAGAAAAAATGCAATAAATTAAAAAGCGTTATGTGCGGATCTCACAACATTGGCATGTGGGATCCCCTGTCAAGAACAAATTAATGAAATAATCACTGAAGGAAGATGAAAAAAAAAAAAAGAGAGAATAAAATTAGTTATAATAATCACATGAAAGAGAAAAGCACAAATTGTATCATTTATTGCACTTGTAAGGTAATTGATCAGTTATCACTCTTGAATGCCTATTCCCAGAAAGAGTAAAGAACTTCAACAGCGATGGAAGAAGTTAAAAAGGTTTGGTGGTTAAAGAAATTCTGGGCATCTGATCTAATGCATGTGCACTAAAAGTATTTGTTTATGGGGGAAAAAATTCAATAAATTAGTAAGGAATCATGTGAGGTTAGCTTCAATTTGTCTTTCTTTGCATGGATTATTCATTAACTTATATACTCTGTTTATTCACACACATGGCTTCTGAACAGAGGGAGGTGGAATAAATCCAGGTTTACGCAAAGGCATTTAAACCAATCGAATGAATTTTGTCGATCAAGAAATTGAAAGAGAAAAGGATCACGCAAATCGAGGTGATTTTAAGTAGTAGCTTACATTTCAACCATGGAAGCAATTAATTCAGGGTCGTCCACTGCATGCTCGTTCTTGTACTCTGTTTCTTCTTCGTTGAACCTGAAATGTAACAATTTTGATTCGGAAAAAAAACATTATACACTGACGAGGTGATGAACCAAAAGGAATGGTTAATCTTGATACAAATGCAAAAAAATCTTTAGATCATGGAAAAACTTTGAGATGGGTGGTTCTTTAAAAATCCCAGATTCAGAGTTTTTCAAGGATGCGAATTCTAACAGACTGAGAAAATCATACTTCTCCTTCATGGAGGGGGGATAAAATAATCAGTTCAAATAGCAGCAATAGTTTTCTCCATCCAATGCAGGTCCATTGAGTTAATTGAATTCAATGGACAGAAATTGAGACATTATTTTGAAGTGTCACATGATCAATCATGGATACATGTGAAGAAACAGAACTTACATTCCAGCATTTGTTGAGTTCCCTGTGCTCCGCAACACGTTGGCTTCCTTACTGTTCAAAACAAATCAAAATGAATCGGTTCAGAGCTTCAGCACTTCAACAATGTGATTTATGCATTAAACTCAAAAGGAAATCTAAGAAACCATTCGCGATTGTGACTCAGCACATTCAAATGAGTATATAGCAAATTGCATCCAATTCAGAACTCTGCCTCTGTTTTCCCAAATCTTCAAACCCGAAACTAACAAGAGACATTTCAAGAGAATGTTCAACATCAATGAATACCTTTCAGTGAGAGCAGCCACCTGAACCAAAAACAGTATGGCTAGTAAAGAACAAACACAATAACATCTGAGGGACACGACCGCCATTGTTGTTTGCTTGTGAGAGGCAAATGCTCTGCTCTCACTCTCTTAAGTTTGTAATAAACTGTATTCAATTCTTCACTGCAAATTAAAATGCCACCAATGAAAAACCAAACGTGGGCTGCAGCAGAGCTAATGCTATTGTGACATTGAAGCTGGAGCTTAAAATGGGGACGTAAAAGGATGTAATTGATATTAGTAGAGAGAGTCTAAAGTGGCCGCAATAAAGTGGTCCTATTTATAGCACAAAACTAATGGAGAGATGGCGCCATCAAATTTTTTGACAAAGGTTTCACCTTTGCCTAACTTCAGTTAAAAAAAAATTTACAGCGTGCCTAACTTTCTAAGCTTAAATTAACTGAATTCCGTCGGTCACTCACGTGTACAACCATTATCAAACCCCATTCCCACCCCAAATGTGATCCCATTATGAATTTATGAATACAAACGCCCCTTCGCCAATTTTTTTTTTCCTTTTTTAAAAAAAATTAATTATTTACGGTAAACTGACAAAAGGGAACTGAAAATTAATCAAAAATAAATTCCGAAGAAGACGGGTGGGATTTTTTTCACCGGACGGACGTGCCACGTGTCCACGTGTTGGTGTTGACTACGGACGGACGGACGGAAGTTTGGGTTGGGCCCCGTACGGCACTCCTTTGTTCTGGGTTTTCGGGTTCCCGCGCGATTACGAGAAAACCGTTTGCGAAAAATTGCTTGAGAACTCAGTAAACTGCCCGGTTACTCCGGTTTGCTGCTGTCCGTACGCAAACATTAAACAGTAGTTAACCGTTTTTTTTTCTTTTCCCTCCTCTCGCTTTTGTCATCTTGTTACTTTCTTTTCAGTTTTCACGTTATCTTCTTAATTTTGCTAATTGATGAGGATTATTAAACTAATGAATACAATTTGTAATTAGTTTAATCTAGCTAATTAAGCTTGCTTCTCAGTGCCATCAGTCTTGAATTGAAGAAGCTTGAGTAAATACAGAAGACTGTGATTATATTTTATTTTGTTTTAATCACTATCATCTTCCTAAAATGATTGTCCCAATTTTTTAACTTTAACGGCTTAAGACTCCAATGCTCCTTTCTTTTTCTTATACATTTAGAGAGAAGCTATATTATGCAGTGCTCTGTATATATTTGGATCAAGTGAAATGAATCAAGATCAGACATTAAGAGGGTCCATTTTTGTAATTCCCTGAAAAAATATGTAAAAGTTTAGGAGACATAACTACTACTTATGTCCAAAAAAGAAATAGTTTACATTAACTTTTAAAATTTATATTAATTTCAATACAAATTTTGAAACTTAATGTGAATTATTTTTTGAGACGAGGGGGTGTCTTTTGAAAAATATATTGTATTTTATGAATAACTATAAGACTCCAATTTAAAAAAAAAAACAAAAACAAAACAAAACTATAAGACTCAGATTTTATTTTTTTATTTTTTGATAGATCAACTTGGGGTTAAGTGGCGATGACTCCATAGGGAGAGATCGGGTACATGCACCAAGGGTCGGCCAACTTTCTTATATGATCGCAATTTTAGTTTACATTGTTTTCTCCTACGATTAAATGACGATGTAAACGTGATTTATTCATGCGAACCGGGTGGGAGGCGCATAAATAATGTAGATTCATTAACATTTATTATTGTAAGAGAATATGGTTAATGGACACCAATTCACCTCAAATGCAACATAGTATTTGTCATGGGCTTTATACTAAAAATTAAGATTAGAATTTAGAAAGACATAATTAACGTACGTATACGACGAATTATTAAACTAGCTAGATAGGAAACATGACATGTAATGTAAGGTGGCAAATGCCAAATCAAAGTATATACCACGTTATTTTATACATATGATCCATAACTCGGAAAGGTCGCAGCCCTCGTGGTAACATGTGTGAGCTCTTGTTTCTCCTTTTTTTTTTTTTTGTTGGTATTAGTCCTCAAACACCCCCCAACAGCGTCCTGAGCAAAATGAAGGGGATAAGTAGACGCATGCAGATGATCATTAGTCTGTCATGGGCATGATCTATGCTAAGGCCTCTCATGGCACCATCGTGTACAGCCTGTGTTTTTTTGATGATAGCTTGAAAAAAAAAAAATTCCTAGAATTAATGAGCTTCAATTAGCCTCTCTTGTTATAGACACAAGTAGTTGTTTTTGCCTCCACGATTAGGTATTGTTTCTTCGTTTTTTCCGATTCGATCCATGGTAGCATGGATTACTGAGTGTCTGAATATCATGATTTGTGACAGTTTATCAATTAACATATCAATCATTATACTGCCTGCCTGTATGCATACAGTTTTCCCAGCTTAAATTAGAACGTTAGCTTTATTGGTTATAACGGGATCTAAGCTAGATTGGGCATGTGTGCGTATAATACATTGAAACAAAATTGTGTGTAACAGCATATCCTTAGTTTCTATGTTCATTTCAGGGGGGAATCGCCTTATAAGTTGAACATTATGATACAATTATTTTCTTAGAACCTTATGGATGACAGTCAATCAAATCAATTTTACAAAGACGTGAATCATCAAGTTGATTATTTTTAAAGCGTGAACTTTGTTATCGTGGTTACCAAAACTTCGAGTCATGTCATGAAAACACTGACTGATAATTGTTTTAACTCGTCTGATAATTTTTTTTTTCCTAAAAAGAATTCTCAAGAGAAATCTAAAATGAAGACATATTATTTACAGCTAATCAAAGAGTTTAAGATTACCACTTCAAAAAAAAAAAAAGAGTTTAAGATTTTTTCTAGTTCTTAGACTTCGGTTTCTTTCATTATACCAAAAAAAAAAGAGTTTAAGGTTTTATCTTGAATTACGTATTAATTAATTAATAATTTTAGGTTTGCAAATGTAAATGTGTTAATTTGTACATACACCATTATTAACAAGGTTTACCAAAACAAACGACTACCACAGTACCAAGTACTAGTTGACAAGCTTCATTAACAGCAAACTTATCTTTGACCAAAACTGACAACATTCTGTCGACCTGTTTGAGGAAGTCTCACAGTGTCAGTTAGAGGATACTGTCATTAATTAAGCTTGTAGACTCTTGGTTGATATAAGGTCTTATGGCAAGTCGTAATTAACCCCCCTAAGCCTAACTTCTTAAACTAAAGCTCTACAAGAATTAAGTCCGCGTGTTTGTTAATTACAAACAATCTCCCTCAACTTGAAGTTTATTCATATTTTAAAACATACACTACTTCATTCAAAAGCGATGACTTTATATTTCGAGGTTAAAAATTAAATTTTTATTAGTGTAAATTCGATAAGTATCTATATAGACTAGTTCCTACAATTGATACGAGTTAGTAAGTACTAGAGTAACTTAGGAGATACTTTCCAAATTACGAGTATTTGAGGGGAGTGGTTTGTAATTAATTAACTCTTGCATCGATTCTTAATGAAACGTTTGACTAATGCTGGCGTTGCGCAGCTTCGTATGGTACCAATTAAAGAGTTAATCTATTCTTCAATTAATTATTTCTAGGTGGTTGACTTTTAGTACTACTACTAGTAGTACTTCATTTTTTGGGAACTTTTCAATCACGACGATTTTTTCTTTGGTTTTCAACTTGGGATGCCTCAACAATATAGTGAACCTGTTGAATCTCAGCTTTTTTTTTTTTTTTTTTTTGCCCCTTTACTATTTTTTGAGTTTTCATCTACTCCCTCCGTCCTAAAATTATTGTCTAGTTTGAAATTTCGCTTTTAGTATAATTTGAATTAGAAATAAAAAGTCAAACTGGACAATAATTATGGGACAGACAGAGTAGCAGTTACTCCATTCTCAACTCACAAAACGAGAGCAGTAAATATTTTTTTTACCTAACCCAATGAAAGGCTCCATTTTCTTATTTTGGCTCATTACCTTAGAGCTTAATGCAGTCAGTGTAATTTAATCTACGTACCTTCGTCAGATTTGCTTGAGAAATAGCTAAGGAAACTTCGATATAATGATAAGCAGCTGCTACAAAAGCTACGTGTAGCTCCACAAAAAAAAATTTCCGCCTTAACTTTACAAAAGCTACCTGGCAGTTATTTTCAAGAATTGAAAAAAATGTCATAATTTTAGACATCTATTTAAAATTACTATAGTAGATTAATTTAATTTTATAGGTCAATTAATTTTAGACATCTATTTTTGGAAGTAAATATTAGAATAAAAATTGACAAGGATTGGAGTTATTCTATCTTTTGATTTTTTCCCTGTAAAATTTTTTTATTGTAAGAAAATACTTTTTTCTTTCTATTCTACATACTCTTTTTGTCCGGGCTGATAAACTAGTTTATACTTAACTACATAAATAATAAATTATTTCTACCCAATGTGTAACAAATCTCAAGAAACATAAATGTAACCCTGTCCCAGAAGAGAAGAACAAATGTAATTTATACATATTTAAACCATTAATTAGTAAACTAATGCAAGTGATAGTTAGTTATTTACTAGTTTAAATTAATTAGCAGCTTTCTCTTTACTACTAATTGATTGTCTTGGGGGACCATAACCAAAGAGAAGAGTCGACGATCTCACATGCAAATCTCCTATTTAGGCCGGGAATCAAGGGTTTAGACTACCTTCAGTTTTTTGTCCTTCAATTCTTAAACTAATAAATACATTGTGAATTAACAAACATGTTTAGGGGTCTAATAAGACGAATTTTTTTAATTACATCAACCTTCTTAATTGAATTCCCGGTCTCATGCAGCGCCGCTCAGCGATTCCCGGTCCGTCTTGGTTAAACAACAAGATTAATTAGTTTGCTGCTAATATCAATTAATAACCTCTTTTGAGTTTTCATACGCAATATCTGGTTCTACTTCTTCTTCCTCATTTACGCGACGGCTAGGCCCTAGCCTCGTGTTTCCAGAATTGATCAATTGAATAGGGAAAGGAATTAAATAAACCTTTGAGAAACGAGAATAAACCTTAGAGAGTATACATACATTAGGTATTTTACAACT